AATGTACGGACAACATACATTAATGTACGGACAACATACATACCGCTAGGAAAAATTCCCAGATTAATATGTCAATACATCTTCACATTAACTAATATATGAGTATCTTACAACATTTTTAAGCATACCAGAAACAAACTGACATCATTATTATCACTTGGTGAAGCATAAGAATAATGAGGGAAAGAAAAAAGCAAATTCCGATCTCCACAGCACCACTATAAGCAATGAAACTGTGTAAAGAGTAGAAACTAAATTCATTTATCAAGGCATAATTCTCCTATGTGGAACAGACTTACCGCTACCACAGACGAATGAGTCATAGCCAGCGTTGTGAAACTCGTCCCCATCTGTTAATGAAAAAAAGTTGAATGAAGTCAGAGGTGCACCATCTTATATAGTGTCATTATACAGAAGTCTCCACCAAAGATCCCACAGCTTACGATCCTGGTTTGCTTATAAGCCCGCTGTTTTAAGAAAACAAAATATTTACAACTCAAAAGTTCCTCTAAGATCCTGCTCTGACTCACTCTGAAGGTCTACATTCGGCTAAGATCCCGCTCTGAAGGTCTACATTCGGCAAAGATCCCGCTCTGAAGGTCTACATTCTGCTAAGATCCTGCTCTGAAGGTCTACATTCCGCTAAGATCCCGCTCTGAAGGTCTACATTCCCCTAAGATCCCGCTCTGATTCACTCTGAAGGTCTCCATTCGGCTACGATCCCCCATTTCAGATCATAATTTACGGAACAAAAACCTCAAAAACCTGGGCGGGCACAGCTGATCAACCAACACTGAAAGGTTGAGATCATTGAGCTGCCCGTTGCATCACAGATCATCCACTCTTGTGAATGTGGTCACATAAATGTTGTAAAACTCAAAATGGTACAATGTTTGTCCCAGACGGGATCATACCCAGGAGTGAACTGACTGACCCGTTTGTTTTCCCCAAAGATCGCTCTCACATCTGAGCGCTCCACCTAAACTTAGATCACTTGCTGGGTGGATATGGTCTACAAGTCCGCTCCAGGCGGGATCACATTGAACTGTGAACTCTTACTAGACCATTGCAACAGTTGTCGCTACTCCCGAATTTGCGAGACAGACTAAATTATAATTGGTGTGGTCACAATGTAACGGTGCGTAACGACAAGAACTCGCTCAGAGATGGAAAGCTATAAATTTTGGACAGGTAAAGAGAAGGGGTAACCATATAAACGTAAATCTTGAGACTCACGATTCAATAATAAATTAAAATAGTATGCCTCATATCACTGTGATTGGTCATCAAGGTTGACCACTCTTTGCTTGTCATTTGTCATAAACCCAGCCAGGGGTCACGTCAATTCATTTTAGAGTATAGAGAGACTATTTTACTGGTTGTGAGCCTTAACATGGGACACTGTAGATTCTTCCCTTGGCACGTCAGCTAATATCCTGTTCGCCTAAGATCCCGCATTTTCTGTGCTTCCGAGCACCGGTTTCTTAGGTGGAGACTACTGTGTATAAAAAAGAGGGGAAATGGGTGGTGGACATTTATACAAGTGATGGTCTTATATACAACAGGCCATAAGAGCAGGTTCAACTGTACTCAATAAAATATCTTCTTCACATTTCTTAGGCGGAGACTACTGTGTATAAAAAAAGGGGAAATGGGTGGTGGCCGTTTATACAAGTGATTGTCATATACAACAGGCCATAAGAGCAGGTTCAACTGTACTCAATAAAATATCTTCTTCACATGGGAATCTACGAAGAACTCACTTGCTTTCTTTACATAACTCTAATATTAGGACAACTCGGACAATGAGTTTAAGAACTATATTCCTTTATCTGACACAAAGCAGGTTACTTTAGAGAAAATCTCCGTCTCCATCCTCTATTTCTGGGGTCACCAAACTTTTTTTAAATAAAGAGGGCTGGATAACTGTGTGAATGTTGAGCATCGGGCTGGATAACTGTGTGAATGTTGAGCACCGGGCTGGATAACTGTGTGAATGTTGAGCACCGGGCTGGATAACTGTGTGACTGTTGAGCACCGGGCCTGGTGACTCATTTGTGCTATACACTGAACACAAATAAAATAAAGGCAACCAACCTAGTGATTTATAAATACAGAAAATACAAAATACACCCAAGAAGAATTAAGACAATAAAACATACATTAAGATTTTGAGAATATATAAAAGCATGCATAATGTGCAACGTACAGTTCAATGAAATGATTCAATTATTTTGATGACTCAGTCCTGAGCACACCACAAACACATCTTCCAAGTTTTTTCCCCACACACATTGGCATAGAGGCAGGCGAGATGATCTGGCTGCAGTTTGGTGACCCCTGTCCTATATGTGAGGCATCGTGGTGGAATCAGGCTCTTGTCAATTTTTGAGCATTTAGAGTTGTTGGTATCGTCTTAAACCTTGTTCACTTGTCTTTATTTGGATGAAAAATATCAATTTATCTTGAATACAAGTCGAGATATTTGCAAATGAAGGAGGTGGGGGTCACCTGTTTTCAGAGGTAAAATTAGTGAGAAAATGGCCGCCAAAGATTGGTTATTTCCTTAGCTTATGAGTCCGTGGTAACTGAAAATTTACATTTCTTGTGCCTTTAATCAACATTTTTCAGAAAAATCCAACAAAGAAATGAGTTCTTTAAAGGGCATGAAAGGTGTTGAGCCAAAAAACAAAAATATGAAAAAAAATTCACAAACCTGTGGAAAAATGCAAGTTTCTTCACTTTGATTGTTTTGACGAGAGCCTGATTCCACCATGCTGCCTCACATATTTCTAAATGATGAAATGGGGGTGGTGGTGGTGGTTTGGGGGGGGGGGGGGGTTAAAACAATGTCCATATGATCAAGATTCAGAAATATCCCATTTTTTATGAATCTGATCCCAGCCAGTCTGCATAGGCAGGTATCTCTTTGTGCATCAACATGTGAATATTTTGCACATTATAATTTATATATTACAACGCAGGAATCAAATTATAAGTCTTTACTTTCACGCAAGAAGCAGCATACCTGCTGAGACTTCATTCTGACGAAGAATTGTAGGCTGCAGTAGTGACATGTTCATCACTCTTTCACTATGAAAAGCAAGACAAAAAAGAGTAAATGATTTATATATATATATAAAACAGCTTTGTGGATTTCTATAACCTTGGTATGCTTTAAATGAGAGATGGTAGAAATCATGTATGAATACTTTGGTATAAAAATAAGGACGTAAATGTGATGCTGGATGGGCCTTGAGTGATAATCAGATGTCCGTGCACTTGTATGTGTATTTGCACATGTGTACAATGTGTGTGTGTGTGTGTGTGTGTGTGTGTGTGTGTGTGTGTGTGTGTGTGTGTGTGTGTGTGCTTCTGTGCACATGTGTGTGTGTGTGTGAGCATGTGTGTTGATACACATGTAAAAATTATGACTGGTGGAAGATTCACAGCAAATGTTGTCTTATAGTCGGTGGCCTAGTGGTTAGGATTTCAGACTCACAACCGTAAGGTCATGGGTTCAAATCCCGCCAGGGGCCCGCTTTACATGAATTTTCCCCACTCCACCCAGGTGGGAATGGGTACCCAGCTACAGACAGTGAAAGATCTTGCCAGTTTGTGTTTGAGCGCTTGCACTGTATGCTTCCCGGGAAGCTGAGAATGTTTCTGAGTGTTCTATGGTCTGCTGGGGTAATAATATAGTGTAAAGTGCATAGAGCTTGCTGTCGATCGGGGATATGCGCTATACAAATGCTATTTTTTGTTATTGTTATTATTATCATTAGTGGTTGCATCAACCAGTCAATTAATGTGTGTGGAGAAGCCGAGTTTGAGTTTGAGAAAAGAGAAGCACATAGACACAATCACTGTCCTTTGGGGCAGGAAAAAGGTAAGACTAAAACACAGAAATAACAGAAGGAAAGACAAGAAGTAGGACCTACCAGTGACCCATCAATTTGGAACTTCACGGCGACATCAAAGATGGTTCCAGTAGGGAACTGGATAGAGGGTGCCCACATCCCTCACAACTCATTGGAGCAGAAAAATATAGGACTAACGCTAACATTACTTAAATGCAATCCCACATTATCACTCATTACCATAATTATTTCTAAAATCATCATTGCTCTCAGATCATTGACTTACATGTATTAATCCTTGAATCTTTATCTGTAACAGTTACTTGTCATACTAAACATGTACGTAATACACTATTGGACACTACCATACTCACTTTTTTCTATTAATCAAATGGCATCAATCTATTATATATTTGGCAACTTGGAAACACATGTGTCACTTGTCCCATAAAACTACGACAGCTACAGAGTTGAAAGTTGGCAAGTACCTTAAAAAAGATAGATAGATCTCATGACGCAGCCCGAATTTTGATTTAATCATTTCCTGAATTTAGAAAAATATATCGGACAAAAAGTTCTCGTCTTTCTTTGGGCTTTGTGATTATTCCACTGAGAAACAAAAGAAATGTGTAGCTGTCCTTAACAATGGAAGTGCTGGAAGTGATATTTTGTGAGGTGCATTTCGTTTTGAGAGTATAGATCTAGACCTTCTAATTTTTTGCCTCTCTCAAGATTTATTGCTCGATTCCAGTAGAATGTAAAGTAGGCCAATGACTTTCAGTTGATGTTAATGCACCGATCATTCCTTTCACCGAAAGGGGGCCCAGCTAGTCTCATATAAATGGGCAAGGGGAAAAAAAAAGAATCTACCAGTGGTGACCTCTAACCACCCATGGATCTAAAAAAAGCCTGTAAATCAGGCTTGCCAGCTTTTTCAAAACCCAGTCAGGGGCACCCAATTTGATCAAATCATGCAGCATCAGACAAAATTACAAGTGGGACTTGTTCTTGTGTAGCGCATGTGAAATGTGATAAAAAAGGATCTCAAATTCCTGATTGCCAGATAAGCGCAAGTCCCGGGAAATTCAGGACAGTTCTCAAGTGCGGCAAATTTACCTGGCGAGGATGTTGTGCAGTTCCTCCAGGCTCCTGGCATGCACAACACCAAGTAACTCCAGTTTCTGTTCTCAAAGACAAATGATTGGAAATGGTTGAGGGGAAAAAAACCCAGTATGTCAACACAATGAAAGATAGAACAAGGCCACTGCATTACTTAGAAGAGCTTCAACAACATACAGTAAATACAAAGATAACAGAACACTGGAACAAGAGCATCTATAAGTGTCATGATATTCGATACTTATACTCGAATATAGCGAAGATGTTCGATACGAAAATAAACACTTCCCTTCCCTATGAAATCAATATGGCTGAATGTTTACTATCGTCTTGTGCTCGTCTGACTTAGATCAAATATCAAGAATACATAACATTATAACAATAAGCAACCAAAACTCACAGCACACACATACTTCTTGGGCCCAGTACTGTTATTGTAAAATGAAAGCAAACTAATTCTAAAGTCACAGGATACTCCACTCTAGTGGGTAACCAACAAAACACTTCTTGTTCTACGAATCACACAGTCTCATTTTTATTGGATATGACACGGTTTTTAGAAATAAAGTACACCCCCAACGACTTTTTAAAAAAAAATAAGAAAAGAAAAAGACAGGTGCCAGACAGAAATAATAGACAATGATAGATGCTTTATGTTACAGAAACATGAGAAAAGGACAGACCATTAGCAAAGTGGCATTTATTGATGACAGATTTACAGAAAATCAGAATTTAATGTTTACTATAGCCTTATTTGATGATTTAAAAAAAAGGATCCATGCACTGCATTACTTAATGTGTGTGGAGAACAAGATGTCGTCAGCACTCTCCAACCCTGGTGTATAAACTGACATAGCATCACTAGAAGCGTGATTCATGCAAAACCTTGCTATTCTGTGGTGAGTGCATTCTACCCTCCTTAACTATTAACAGTTCCATAAATTGATGCAATCCATACAACACAGAGAAATGAGTTTTTTAAAAGTAAGAGTTTTACAGCACTTGCAACACTATCATCATCATCAATGCCTTTCACCCCTGGCAGGGTATAGGCCACATACAAGCTCCTTCCATTTATCTCTGTCCTGAGCCATCCTTCCAAGCTCGTTCCAAGTGAGCTTCATTTCTCTCATGTCCCTTTCCACGCATCTCCTCCATGTTTCTCATGGCCTACCCCTGCCTCGTGCTCCCTGGGGGTTCCACTGCAGTGACTGTCTTGTGATGTTTCCGCTGGGCTTTCTTAAGGTGTGCCCCATCCATCGCCACTTTCTTAGTCCTATTTCTACTCCTATATCCTTTTGTCCTGTCCTTTCCCACAGCTCTTCATTTCTTATTCTATCCTGCCACTTAATTCTTAAAATACTCCTCATACATCTGTACTTTCAACACTATAAGGTCATGTAAGTGCCGAAGATTAGATGTTTTACAAGAGAGTAACAAACATAAAAAGAAGGAGGAGAGATCAGGACGATAGGTGTTTAATAGGAAAGAAGGAGCAAACCACACTAAAGCACCCACCAACCACCCACATAGAGAAATGACATTCACGTAAAATACCATAGAATTGCTCAAACAAAATCCCAACATGATAGAGTCTTCCTTGGCACTTACTTTCTTTATGCACAAATGGATGTGCTTCGTGTCAAATATCACTGGGAAGACTTCACGAATACACAGCTTGAATGTTTCATACTTTTCTGAAATGACAGCAGGAACAAGCTAAATGAACATCATGGGCTCTTAGAACAGAAAACAAAACTGTAGGCCTATCCGTGTTTCTTCAAAAGATATTTGACAAATTTTAATATGAAAGTAGTAGTAAACTTAAAGTTTTTGTTTTTATTTTTATTCAATTACCTGATAGTTTAGTAAAAATATATTCTTTCACTGAATTTTTTTAAATGAAAGATAATTTAATAGACAATAAACGCAGTAAAGACAATGGTCTAAAATTGTTGAATCCCTCCCCCCAAAATGTAACAAGAAATCAGAATGTTAAGTTCAATAGTGCGTTGTATAATCAGTACATCATGGCTCATATGTGAAAACAGTGAATGACTCATTTGACTAGCTGCTTTTCTGATTTACTAGAAGATCGCGGAAACACAAACACATGATGTTTCATCTGGAGCTAAAAAATCTCAAAGTTGGCAAATTATCATGGCATGCTACAACTGATCAAATCATTAAACACGATGAAGTGTGAACCAAATGAATGATACAAAACCAGAGTTTATAGTTTTAAAAATTAAAAAGTGAAACTGTAATTCATGTTTTTGAAGAATGTCATATGCTACCAGTTAAGGTCCAAACTATGAATAATGAGAAAAATCTTTTTAAATGTATACATATCACGACACGTAAGAATCAGGCGCTCGTCAATATTTGGGTATGTGGAGTATTAGTCTCATAATGCTTATCTATTTGTCAATTTTTCGATTAAAAAATACCCATCTCTCTTGAAAAGAAGTCATGATATTTGCAATTGAAGAAGGTGAGGGTCAGGTGGTTTCAGATGGAAAATTTACGAAATGAGAAGCAATGCTGTTTTCTTCGATTTCATTGTTTTGACGACCGTCTGATTTTGCCACGATGCCTCATATATATTACGTTAAAAACACACAAATACACGAGACAAAATGAGTGGGTCTGCTTTGATCTTGTTGGAATATGTGTGTGCAAGTGAGACTTTGAGCCGTTCAGACATCACTATCAGGGTGCTTGTCACAACTACGGGCAAGAAAGAAAGAAAAAGACAGGTATCGGACAGAAACAATAGTCAATGATGGATGCTTTAGGTTATATCTTCTTCTTCTTCTCGATCGCATCACACTTGAAGTCTGGTATCTGTCATAAATTGGGCCGTCCTGCTCAGTTCATCTGTCGCTCTATGTTATAGAAATGCAAGAAAAGGACAGACCATTGAATGGATCTCAAAAAGATGTTGACAGCACCCTACAATCCCTCCAACATAAAGAACACATTTTGAGAAATGTTGCTTTTTTACACTTTGTTTGTGGGTGACAATTTTGATAAATCCCCGTAACTCTTGTCATAATTATATCATAACATTTGATGATGTGAACTTTCTTCAGCTTGATTTTCAAGGGAAGGTGACATAAAAATTCTATAAAACAGTTTGTCACTTGCCATATTTGCAACTGTATCTTACCTGGAAGTGGCATGTGGAATTTGTCAAACATAAACATCAGGTCCATCAACATATTGTGACCAACAATAGGCTGAAAAACATTGTTTAAAAACAAACAAAGATGAGATTAGAAACAAAGGCACTCATTTTTGGTTTTTGCAATTCAATTATGAATCTATGAACTTAGATCGCTACTCGAACAGGCCAGGTGCAGAAAATGAGGTACAGATGAGGTCAAGCCCACAACTTGACAGGATTGGAGAAAAAAAACAGTTTCAGTAGAAAATGCTACACCTGATACAAAACTATGCTTGGCTAGCTGCCCGCTTGTCTTTAGCATGGCAACATAGAGGTTAGGGCTTAGACCATCACGAACTGCTTTTGATCACTACTACAACCATGACTAATTGATGACAGTCTTTCTGTAGCTAGATCTTTGGAATAGTCCACTAAATAAAATAAGAATAAAAAATGCATGAACAAATATAGAAATACATTACTACATAAACGCATGGATAGTATCACAAACATAGACAATCCACACACCATTTATGGTCACCACTGTGCAGTGTCCAGTTAAGGATTATACTGTGTCATACATCTTGTGTCATGACTTTTTTTACTTTTAAAAGTGCAAAATCCGTACAAATACCAGTGGTCCATGAATACAATAAAAGCAAACGTACCTTCCTGGCTGACAACAAAAGCCTGAACACCCTTGAGAATCCAAGCATCTCATTCAGCAGTCTGAGAAATCAAAAGTAATTACATTATGTATGTCTGTGCAAAACATACAATCAGCAGTAATGAAATATAAGGCTTAAGGTGTGTCCTGTCAGTTTTACATAAGCAAACTATGACACAAAAATACAGAATGCAGTGACAACAAAATAAAGATTGATGACTTGCCCAGTGATGTTTTCATCAATACGACTGAACAAAAAAATGTGCAAAACTGTGTCATTTTACCACTCCTTGCAACACGGCAAAGTTATCGAAGAGGTGGGACTTCCGAATCTAACGTCTATCTGCGATACAACCAAGCCAAATGGACAAATTTGTGTAAACTGCCTTTCCTCTCCCAAGGACACATCGTCAGACCAAGCCGAGCCTGGAACCCCCAAACCCAAAATCTCATTGGTTGTCAATCCGGTGGCCTGATTACAAGACTACCAATGCCACCTATACAACTGATAGGTTCTCATGAACATTGAATATTTATAAAGAGCTGACTGGTGATGCTTTTCATGGGCAGCATAGCGCTAGGCACTTAATACCAAGATCAATTTTTCAAAGAATGGAGAAGACACTACAGTCGGTGTCGCATTCAACGAGGTTGCCGGGACCGGCATGTTGTCCTCGTTGGATCCGACCTCTCGTTGAACGTGACAAAGGCTAAAGAAAAGAAAGGAGACAGGTTATTATTATATTACACTACGTACCAATACCAGTAATTAAAACAGTTGTTCCCCCTGATGACGAAAATCTCTAACAGCATCAGTGAGTGTGCACGTGTTTGAGCTGTGTTCTGACCGTCATTTCTGCATTAAACATTTTTTTTTTCCCGGAACACTTCTCGCGTGGAAACATACCCTCTCACATCTAGGCCTAGATCTACATAAAGTAAAGGCAGGAGCTTGGATTGTCTGACATACCCTCTCACGTCTAGGCCTAGATCTACATAAAGTAAAGGCAGGAGCTTGGATTGTCTGACATACCCTCTCACATCTAGGCCTAGATCTACATAAAGTAAAGGCAGGAGCTTGGATTGTCTGACATACCCTCTCACATCTAGGCCTAGATCTACATAAAGTAAAGGCAGGAGCTTGGATTGTCTGATCAGGGGAAGAAAAGAAAATTGAAAAAAATGGTCTCGCTCTAGACCTACCCATCCAGAGTTCATCCAGTTCCACACAGCCCGCATCGCGTTCCCACCCACCCACCCCTCCCATCCCTACAGTAGGCTAACCCTCGCCCATCCTCTTGGCTTTGGGGCCCATATTAATTAGGAGGCACACTAGATCTAATAATACAGTGTGTTAGGAATCGAGGATGGTCCTTGTGTTTTGCATGAGATGGAGAGAAAGGAGAAAAATTCTTCACTTTTGAGGCCGCTAATTGCTTTTATTTGGTTATCGCGACCTTGTTGAAAGCGACTTCCGTCTTTTAGCAAACTCGTTGCAGCTGACGCACATTTACAAAGAGATATAGAGGCAAAATCCGGGATTAAGGATTGCCTTGTTGGAGCCGACTTCTCGTTGACTGTGACCTCGTTGAATGCGACACCCACTGTAGTACTAAAATGTACCTTCTGCCCGTTCATTATATTAGTGCTGTCTGATGCCAAGCACGAGTGCCACAAGACAAAAATAGACTGCAGTGGTAATAATAATAATAATACTAATACTAATAAATAGTAATAGCAATACTTTGCACGTCAAGGCTTGACGGTGACCAAAGCATCAGCAGTGGAGAATATTTATTTCTTAAGCGAAACGAAGATATGAGGGTTAAAATGAACTGTGGCTTCTGCTTTGGCTCATGAGACCAATTCTGTCCCAGAAGTATTTGTCACATTGCCTGAATGGAGGGCCATATACGCAATAGGCTTAACAATCAGAAACACTGCGGGTTGAAGAGCCCACTGTCAAGTACTCCTGAAATCTAACTGGAACATGCATAAAAGGGAAAACAGGAGAGGTTGGTTGAACACAGAGTGCCAGCATGAACCGGCAAACTGTCCCACAGCTACAAACTACCATGTGGTCAAAGCATGAAATGAAAGGAAAAAAACTCACTGTTGCTGATAGCGATCATCGCCGTCTAGATCTCTTTTTTGCGACATGCGTCTCTCGGTAGGCGTAACTCTTTTCACCACCACCTGGAGAGGAATGTAATAAAGGACAAGTTACAGAACAACTTCCTGCGACACAAATAAAATGAGCTCACTAACCAATTTTTATGATTTGCAGTATTATAGGGTTTTACGGCGCTCGCAACTGCATAAGGTCATATGAGCGCACATTTTTATGATTATTCATGAGCATCATTACTAAGCCGACCTACCATATATTTGTATAATACCATATTCTTAAAGCACGATAACTTTATTTTCAAAAGTTTTTCTGTCTTTAAAGAAACGGAAAAAATTTCTACTAAGTTAATTTTCTTCAACATCCTTGAAGCATGATGCAATATCAATTGTGTTCATAGATCATGTATATACCGACCCATTTTAAACTCTTTCCAAAGGAAGAAAAACAAAAGTAGTATCACAGCGTCTACTAAACAAACCAGGCGCAATGAGCACCTGACGTCAACTGATATGCCCTCTGGCATTTCTATTACACATGTGCTTTCAAAAACATTACCTGGTCAAAAGCATTTGTGCTTGTCCATATCTGAGGAAACTGTGCTCTCAAGTCTTTGTGGAAGACATACAAGGAGTCTGCAAAGTCTAGAAATAAAATAGTTATGAATGAGATAAGCACTGCAAAACATTTCTTATTTTTCAAAAGATGTGGAAATTCCTTAACTGAAGATAAGAAAATTTAATTGAAACATGTATAGCAACAACAACAAAATATTTTACAAATCAGTTGCCCATCTCTGAGCCACTTTCAAAGATGTGACCAAAAACATCTGTCTAGCCCTGATGAGGAAGGGTGGGCTATGAAACCATTGACCCGAGAAATACAATCTACATATAAATTCTATAGCAAACGCCATACTGCAATTTTCATAGTTTACATGTTACAGAGAGTAAAAACAAAGCTTTTGAGAAGACAATGAGCTTTTCAAATGGGAGCAAAAACTTAAATCTCAATTATTCAGTTACCTTTCTTCAAGTCATAGGTTTGGTGTGGTTTGGTAGAGGTTTTATAGCACTTGCAACACTTAAGGTCATAGAAGTGTTGAAGATCTTAAATCTCAGGTTCAAATAAACATAACTTAAAGTAATAAAAATTAAATTTCGTGAAATTCTGTAAATTGTGGGAATAGCTTTAGACAACAACAAAAAAGAAACATAAAGGGTGCTCAGATAAAACCACAGACACATGTATGTGTAACAATGTGGTGGAGTCAGGTCTTCATCAGTTTATCAGCATATAGAGTCATTAATTGGTATCATCTTAAAGCTTGTTCATTTGTCTTGCTTTTGATTACAAAAATACCCCTCTGTCTTAAATAGAAGTTGAGATGTTTGCCACTGAAAGAGGTGAGAGTCGCCTGGTATCAGAGCAGGAAAATAGCTGTAAAGTTTGATGACTTTCCAAAGCTTGAGTGTCTTTCGAAACTGTTCATTTGTATTTTTTGTGTCTTTGATCAAGGCTTTTCTGTAAAATCCATGCAGAAATGTGTTTTTAAATGGACATAAAAGTTGCGGAGCCAAACCTTGTTAAATTGATAAAAATCGCCCAGTGGGTGGAAACGTGTCTGTTTCTTTGATATAATTATTTTGACGAGCGCCTGATTTCGCCACGATGCCATTGTCAGGAAAGTTCCAAATTCTCAACTCACCATGTAAATAGAAAATAGAAAGATAATAACGGGTTGAGGCAAAAGTTTTTGAATTTGTCAGAACTGCATTTCTCTGTAAATAAACATTTATGATAATATAAATGTTTCAAGTGGTTGTTTTTCTACAAATAAAACTGTACACAATGGCCCTCCTGATTCATATTTTAGTACAGAAGTCTCCGCCTAAGATCCCACCGCTTACGATCCCGGTTCGCTTAAGATCCCGTTGTTTTAGGAAAACAGAATATTTACTATACAAAAGTCACCCCTAAGATCCCGCTCTGATGGTCTACATTCGGCTAAGATCCTGCATTTCAGATCATAATTTGCTAAACAAAAACCCGGGCGGGCACAGCCGATCAACCTAGAGTGAAGAGTTGAGATCAATAAACTGTCCGTCGCGTCAAAGATCAACCACTATCGTGAATGTGATCACATACACGTTGTAAAACTCGATGAAGCGATACAATGTTTGCCCAGACGGGATCACACCGGGGTGTAAACTGACCGACGTGTTAGTTTTCCCCAAGCATCGCACTCAGACCTGAGCTCGCCACCTAAACTTACATCACTGGCTGGGTGGGTAGGGCCTACACGTTCGCTCCAGGCGGGATCACATCGAACCGTGAACTCTTCCTTGACCATTGCAGCAGTTGTCTGTACTCCCGAATTTGCGAGACGGACTGAATTTTAATTGGTGGGTTCACAATGTAATGGTGTGTAACGACAAAGGCGGTTTGGAGGGGGGGGGGGAGGGGGGAGACTCGGTCAGAGATGGAAAGCTATAAATTTTTGACAGGTAAAGAGGAGGGGCAACTGAATAAGCGTAGATCTTGAGACTCATGATAGGATAATAAGTGAAAATGGCACGCCTCGTGCCACTATGCACCGTGATAGGTCATCAAGGTTAACCATTCTTTGCTCGCCATTGGCCATAAACCCACCAATGGGGCACGTCAGTTCATTGTAGAGTGGAGGGAGACCATTTTACCGATTGTGAGCCTTAACATGGGTCACCATAGATTCATCTCTGGGTTCATTGGTTAAGATCCCGGTTCGCCTAAGATCCCGCATTTCCTTGCTCCCGAGCACCGGGATCTTAGGCGGAGACTACTGTATTCGAAAACACAGCCAATATTAAGCATATAGCAATACAAATAATCATGTTGAATTTATACACTTTTGTGATATATTGTAAATATTGCTTGGAACCGTCAGCATCTACACACTTCCAGATGTGCTTCTTCAGGGGACGGAGCGCTTATGGGGATTCCCCTTTTGCAGTGATGTTGGTCCTTCACACAAGTAAACAAGTAAACTTTTGTGATATCTTCCGCACCCTCTCCAATTAATCGTATACATATTGTTTACATAGATATGAATTTACTAGTAAATAGAAACTCATAAATGTTGCACCAACTTTTGTCCGTGGGCAGAGTGAGGATGTCTCCAGGTTGGCTGGTTGGGATCCAGGCTGCTACATGTGAACACAGACTCTGTATCTCTTTTTCATCCATTTGTCTAAATGGACAATTGAACAGAAGGTAAATTATCTTCATTTCCCCAAAGTAAAAATCAAAATCAGGTAAGCGACTGAACAATGTAGCATACAGATGTTATAAGAAAACTATATATATACTGTTAAGACATCTTATGATAGTTACTCTTATGACCATCGACCAATAGATCCTTTTCAGCAAATAAAGAGTTACAGAACAATGCAAAGTTATCATGCTTACCAAATACATTTTTGTAGCCCTGCATACAAAGGGCGAAATTTCCACACAAAAATCTGCTGTGCTAGAGTATTTAAACAAAATTAATTCTTTCAGCAGCAGCAATAATTTGCAACCCAGACTGTTTAATGACAAAATCAAATAAAAATTACACACACCTGTCAAGGTCGCGATTCAAGACCCCAACTTCAACTAGGTCTTTTACTTTCTTTTCATCAACACAATTCAAGTAGGAGATCCCATCGTGAAGCCACTGAAATAGATCAAAATGAAAAAACATGTACACCCTTGTTAAAGTTTCTGAAAAATCTCTTCTTTTTCAACATTTCTCTTATTCCCGTTATAATCATGTGGAGTTAATGTTGAAACTGGTTTCAATGTTTGCACCATCTTCAGGCAAATTTCTTGATGGGAGAGAATTTTCAACTTCAGTATCTACAAGATTTATAACCTTTCTCATTCAACCTAGTTCATTAGTTCGAACTGTCATTTCTTGAGGCTACTGCACTGACCCTCAGACAATTCTACAGGTTCACACGTAGCTTATCCAGCAACTTTCCTCCGAACATGGTGAAGGTGACAGCCACAATGCTGTAGCAGAAGAATGGGACTCAAATCGTCTTCATCGTACTGGTACACTGCACATTTGTCGACCTCAAATGAGACATTCATGTGAGTGTTCATTCTGATACAATGACTTTGTTGTGTCTGCTAAACAATCTGTCTGTCAATCTGGAATGTGGTAGCTTCAATCTTTTTTCAAAACAGACTTCTGAGTGTCATCTCTTTAGTGTAAGAGACCTATCTCCTCAGTCAACTGCCTTCTCTCCTTTGCCAGTCTGTCGGTTTTTTCATTCCAGAGGATCCCACAGTAAGATGGGACCCATTGCACAGTGAGATCTGTCCAGCAATAAGATTCCTCTGTGCTCCTTTGAGCTCAGTGGTGGTTGTTTTTGCTTGGAATTTGTAGGACTTTTAAGAACAAAACTACATATATAGATTACTACCCAAGTCTGCTTTGTGGCTGCTTAGCATTTTTGTTTCTTGTTGCATTTCCAAGCACTTCAGATTGTGTCTGAAAAATTACAAGAGTAGGTTTCTTCCAAGTGGAGAGGGTGGTAAGAGCTTCTTCCTCTTATCCATACCTAACCTATATCTCGCTTCGAACAAAGCTGAGGATTTTCAACTCAAATGTTGAGCCAGTCCTGTTGTATGGATGTGAAACATGGAACGCATCTCAGACTTGCATAAAGAAGATCCAGGTTTCCTTGAACAAGTGTCTAAGGAAGTTATTGAGGATCAGATGAACAGACAGGGTCAACAATGAGGAAGTGTTAAGGAAAACAAGACAGATCCCAGTCACAGATGAAGTAGGAAGAAGGCCGTGGCGACTGATTGGACACACTCAGAAAGTCAGGCAGCTGCATAACAAGGAAAATATTGGATTTGAATCCACAGGGTAAAAGGTCAAGGGGAAGACCGCGTGGAATTTGGAGAAGAGTCACGGAAATTTGATGTACAGAAAAAAGGGAAGACATGGAATAACATCAAGAGGCTAACCCAGGATAGGGAAAGGTGGAAAGTGTTTGTTAGTGGCCTATACCCTGATCCAGGGTGAGAAAGGAAATGATGATGACACTTAACCTCCTTCACTCATCACTATAATCATTGCCTCCATTCCCGCCTGAGACTTACGCCACCAACAAGGGCTCTCCACACATTTTCTCCAGCTGCAGGGACAGCCTTCCAGTTTGCTGCTTGTTTGATTCACTGGTCCATCTGCGTACCCATAGACCCATTGACCTGCCAGTTTCCTGGTATGAATGTATTCAAGGGCCAGTGTATTCTCTGAGGCTTCAAATGTAAGTCATTGCTTTGTATGCTTGGGGGTTGTTGTTTTTTTCAGATAGACGGCAACAAGTCTGGTTTCTTTTTTAGTGTTAGTAGAAGCGTCAAGGGGCGGATGTCAACAGAGAAGTCCTTACAGGGAACCAGACTTACTCAACAGAGAAGTCCTTACAGGGAATCAGACTTACTCAACAGAGAAGTCCTTACAGGGAACCAGACTTACTCAACAGAGAAGTCCTTACAGGGAATCAGACTTACTCAACAGAGAAGTCCTTACAGGGAACCAGACTTACTCAACAGAGAATTCCTTACAGGGAACCAGACTTACTCTGCTCACCTCTCTAGCTTCAACAGCACAAAGTCTGCTTCGATTATCAAGGCACCCCGGAAATAGTGGGTCACAAGAGTGAGACAAACATATAAAAGAAGTAGAGGAAAAAATGACAATAGTAAGGATTAGGAAAGAAAAAGCAGCAGTTCCCTGTTGTAGATCAGGCACAGTTACGAGCATGACACTGATGAATCAGCCCATTTACAATTCTACTGTGCATGAACGAGAAATGTCCCCCCTTTGAGAATGGCCTAAAGACACTTCAGTCAGTGGCACCGCCCCAGGGGGAATGTCTGGTTTCTGTAGATGAGTAGTTCTGATAGATGGAACAGGCATAACTATGTGGTCCAGAAGATGGAGGTAATTCCTTATTGAGGGTTTGACAAGGGAAAGAAGTTGAACCTGAAAAGTTTTCATTTTGGCTAAGAAATATATTGGTACATTAGAAGATTATCTCATACATGACACTTTTATTCATACTCTTTTGTTCATTTGCCTGGCTGAAAATAACATGCATGTTCTCACTCTCATTTATCCTGACATGATATGTGTTCTACAGGAATAGCCAGATGAACTTTAAAAGTCAAATTTACTGACCAAAAAACACTATCATCTACATGTGTTAAAACAACTTTAAATACCTTATTGAAATCAAACTTGTGCTTGCGCAAGAACTGGATACTTGATGCCTGAAAAAAAAAACAAAGTCAAAAAAGTATTTTGCTGACAGATCATGACACATTCCTTGTCAAATGAACAACTGCCATGTCAAAACAATAAATATTTAGACCTATTCACCTAAAAAAAAGATCAGTTTTGATATTTCAGTTCATAGCAGAGCGAAGTTAACAAACACATATTACAGCAGTAAGAACAATGAGCAGGACGGCCCAATTTATGACAGATACCAGACTTCAAGCGTGATGCGATCGAGAAGAAGAAGAAAAGAACAACGGGAACACTGACTAACAAGGGGGAGGAAACACCACAAGAACATCCTTGTTTTTAGCAAGATCTTTATGGCATTTGCAGAACCTTTAGAGGGGGCTCTCGTGGCCTAGAGGTTAAGGTGTTGGTCTCTCATTCAAAAGGTCCCGGGTTCGAATCTGGGTAGCGACTGAAAAATTTTCTTCTCTAAATTTGTCTCCTTTCACCTCATTTCCTGCTCTCTAGCAATGTTCTGTCGTCTGCTTTCGTCTCCTCTTTCTGCCCCACACCCTCACCTCCTTTGCCCCTTCCTCTGGGCTCCTGACTCTTTCTGCAGCCTTTCTACTGCTACTCCTTCGCTTCTTCGTACTGCTGTCTTTCAGCCACGCCCCTGATCTTCTGGTAGGAAAGATCTACACCTAGCCTTCTCGGACAAGGGCGAAAAATCTCGGAGGGCCAGTGTGCAAGTTGCGCACGTTAAAGATCCCTTGGTGGTCTAAAATCGATAAGAGTAGGCTTCGGCCGCCACCCGGGCAAAATTCAAAATTTCCTACCAACTGAAAATATTAGGTGTGTCCCGCACGCTCATATGACCGTATGCAGTTGTGAGCACCGTAAAACACTACTTTACAAAAAGAAAAAAAAGAAAAAAGAACCTTTAGGTCATATAAGTGCCGAAATTTAGAGGCGTTACAAGAGAGTAACAAACACCAAAAAAAAGAGATAAGGACGACAGCCATTTGATAGGAAAGAAGGAGTAAACCCCATCAGAGCAGCTGCCAACCACTCACAAACCATCTTTGATTATCCCCACTTATAAGCATTTTTAGTTAATGAAATTTTTTTGGCCAGTATTATTATCTGCTTCCAAAATCATAATGAAATTCCATTTTCTTGTATCTCTTCCAAAATGCAAACTTGAAAATACGGTATCATAATCGGTCATTAGAGTGCCCTAAGTACAATGCAAGACAAAGGTTAGGTCAGTTTTGAAACGTCAAAGAACAAAACAGTAGAGCTGCAGTGAACAAAGAAGTCAAACGCTTGTGAAAAGTTAAATAAAAAGCGCTTTGAAATTATCATACATTTGATCAATGAAAGACACATAAGATGGGTGTGCCTGGAGAAAGGTCCCAGTTGTTGAACATTCTGGATATATTGAAATTAGGGCTTATTCTTGTAGTCAATTCAACTTGCAGATGTGCCACATTAGTCAATTCAACTTGCAGATATGTCACATTAGTCAATTCAACTTGCAGATATGTCACATTTTGTAACACAGGATGTAAAACCTAAGTTGGGAGAAAAACCCTATTTCTAGCACATTTTTAACTTTGGTGAAATATAACATATTGCAAAAATAACTAATAAAAGACTTAAAATAGAAATAAATCCTTTCAATATGTCATTAAGAAATGGTTAAATGTGTGTTTTCAGAGGGAACTAAATTTTTGATCTAGTAAGACTTTCATGGCCTTTTCACCCTGTTGCTCAAAAATAGCGTTGCCGACAACTGGGACCTTTCTCTAGGCACACATACATATTTAGTAACTAACTGTAACTGTATCTGTGTAGACAGCTATGTATGTTGCAAGGTATGACCGTTCGATTTCATCCGAACCTTAAATATACGATATGATAGAAAGAAACCTCAAAAGTCAAAAGGAGAAAGTGGGGCTCTCTTTAACAAATTCCGCTCACCTGCAAACTCAGTCTTTGATCATGAGACGCAAAGCTTCTTGGGAAAAGGTAAAACTGGAATGTCTGTGTTTGATACCTATGACATAAACCAAAAGTTACATTACACCAAGAAAACATTAGCAAATGTTTTAACAAGTTGATACAGTTTAAAATATATACAATAAACTTAGTGCTATTAATAACTTCTCGGTAGCAAATGCTATATATACAGCTTACTCATTATCTTATAACCCCATATATTCATTGCAAGAAAGGCCCTCTGTGTAGTAATAAAATAATTTCAGTGAGCTAAAAGTGTGTGTATGTGTGTGCGTGCGTGTGCTCATATTTGAGAAAGAGAGAGAGAGAGAGAGAGAGAGAGAGAGAGAGAGAGAGAGAGAGAGAGAGAGAGAGAGAGAGAGAGAGAGTGTGTAAGTGATTATGTGTCTGAGTGTGCACAATTATGTGAGAGTAAGAGTGTGTGATAATGTGTGAGTGTGTTCATGTACATGTCTGTGTGTGCACAATTATGTGAGAGTAAGAGTGTGTGATAATGTGTGAGTGTGTTCATGTGCATGTCTGTGTGTGCACAATTATGTGAGAGTAAGAGTGTGTGATAATGTGTGAGTGTGTTCATGTGCATGTCTGTGTGTGCACAATGATGTGAGAGTAAGAGTGTGTGAGAATGTGTGAGTGTGTGATAATGTTTTCATGTGTTCATGTGTGTCTGTGTGTGCTGTGACCCCTACCTGTTGGTGTTCACATCTCCACAAAATGTTGACAATCCTGTTGAGGAAATTTTTTAAAGAACATAAATTCCACCGGGATATCATACAAAATAAAGACAGTATTTATTAGAGAGTGGTCAAGGAATCTGCATTCATCTTGACGTGACAAACTTTCATGTTCTGCTATTAAAAACTAACGTACCACAGGAGCTGCAAATTTCATCAAGTACCTTATTTTTACTGTCTTACTTAATAGTGATGAAAAATTGGTTCATGTCATCATAGATATGCATTGACAACTTTTCTTTGTACTCTGTGAGAGCTACACGTTCCACTTGTGCCGTCAAAAAAAGAAAAAAAGAAAAAGAGGGCACAAATGCAGAACAAGCATAGAATTTAACCAAGCGTACTCTTCATTAGGTGCTCAAGATATGCGAAGAACCTAGTGAAGCTTTCTTTCTTTTTTTATTTTTTTTTGGTAAGTGTTTTACGGCGCTCGCAACTGCATAAGGTCACATGGGTGAGTGAGACACTTTAAACATTTTCAGTTGGTAGGAAATTTTTTAATTTAGCTAGGGTGGCAGCTGAAGCCTACTCTTATCAATTTTGGACCACCAAGGGATCTTTAAGGGGCGCAACTTGCACACAGGACTGACGAGATTTTTCACCTTTGTCCCAGAAGGCAAGGTGTAGATCTTTCCTACCATAAGATCAGGGGTGTGGCTCAAAGACAGCAGTAAGAAGGATCAAAGGACTTTCAGTAGAAAGGCTGCAGAAAGAGTCAGGAGCCCAGAGGAAGGGGGCAAAGAAGGTGAGAGGCTAGGAGCAGAAAGTGGAGACGAAAACAGACGACAGAACAATATCAGAGAGCAGGAAAGGAGGTTAAAGGAGACAATTTTAGAGAAGAAAATTTTCTGTCGCTATCCAGATTCAAACCCGGGACCTATTGAATGAGAGGCGAACACCTTAACCTCTAGGCCACCAGAGCCCCAGGAGTTTTCTAAGAAAATAAAAGTACATAAGGGTCAAGGGAAAAAGACTGCCGACAGGCTTTCTCTTTAGCACAGAAAGTGGAGACGAAAACAGACGACAGAACAATATCAGAGAGCAGGAAAGGAGGTTAAAGGAGACAATGTCCTGTCCTGCTCTCTGACATTGTTCTGTCGTCTGTTTTCGTCTCCACTTTCTGCTCAATGTCATGAAACAAAAAACCCCCCAAAAAACAATAGTAATTTAATTAACAGAGATCATATCCACTGTTACTGTTGCAACATACATTATTGAAGTTCATTCAAACACTGAAAAGGAAAGACACAAACAAAGAATCATACCTATTTGAAACAAAGTAAATTTCTGTATGCTTCTCCTAAGCTTGGAATATCTATCTGAGCCGCTGTCAAATAAGCTGTAGATGAAAATAATATAAGAATAAGGAACATTGAACATCATCCAAGCCATTTAGTTTAGTCTCTTCCCTTCCTTTCAAGATTTTAAAGAAAATGGAAAGATAACCCCGAAAGTACCGAATAACAAACAACCCAAGGTGGACATTTAGAAAATTCAGAATATATAATTCTATTTTATAATAATACATCCATTCTATAAGCAATATCCTCAAGAATATTATATCCTACTTTAAAACATCACTTTACATTCACAAGCGGGAGACAAGATACGACTACAGTTGAATCAAAAGTTTCAGCTTGACAAGCAACATCATGTTGCAACATAAAACTGTATACGTTTAATGCCCCAAGCAACACTGTAAGGTTATTTAAGAAGTGAGACCTTCGAACTAAACGGCCATCCCTGAGAGGACTGAATCAAATAAAAAAGTTCGTGTGAAGTGCCTTTCCCAAGGACATAACATTGCTCCGAGCTGAACTTCAAATCCTAAAACCCATAAAAGCTCATAATTACCAGTCCAGTAGTCTAACCAATAAACTACTGAAGCCAGAACATCTCTTGCAGATATTTCAATGTGAAATCTGCTCAGTATCAATCTATGATGGAACAGTATGAAGGTAAGTTTTGGCACTACCTCTGATAATCCAATTTCTTCCTCTTCTTGAGAAACTATTATTTCAAACTAAATCAGGAAAATTTTTCCTACCAGCTACAGGCTTATCTGAGTGCAACACTGTCTGAACAAACCCAATCAGGTCGCCTACAACTCTGCCAATAAAGTAGCACAATCTGAAAGCAAAATATTTATTACAAAGTTTTAACCCTTCCAGCCCCATGCCCGTATATTTTCAGCAGAGCTGGTACCTCCCACCATCCCAAGAGTGTATATTCTCAGTTTCGGGGGCTACCAAATTTGGGCATTTTTCTAAATTGGAGAACCTAATTAAACTCTAATTTTCAAAATATTTGTTCATTCACTTTACCTTTGAACGCTGTTCTATGTCATTACCTAAACCTCATTACAAAGATACTACATCACTTTTTAGAATACATGCCAGTTTCTCTGAAATACCGCTGTATTGGCTGGGACTGGGGTCAGGGAGTGCACAAAAATGGCTGGGGCTGGAAGGGTCAATAAATTGATGTCTGAGCGCAAGAAGTGACTATATATCCAGTTTTGGTCGAAAAGGAGTAATCGATACCGGAAGTGAGATTTTAAGCAGATCTTTAACCTCTATACATATCTAAGCCGTAGCTTAATTCTGTATCGAGATATTAACAGTTTCTTTTTGGACTATATTATCGAGATTACAAAACCGTCAAAATTTCAAACTGGTTTTTCTTGAAACTGAAAAAGTGAATATATAGTCACTTCTTGTGCTCAGCCGTTGCAAGGTATCATAAAATTCTACTTACCTTGGCTTATCATCATCATGAAAATGGAGCCCAGAAAATTCTGAATCAATCGCTAGATAGAAAAAAACCAAAACGTTTTTACATTAAAAAAGAAAAATTACTAAGGTACATTCACTGGGAAATTGTCATGATAGTGAGTAGGCATGTACCATGCAAGCTTTTACAATGTTATAATATCAACATCCTGGTGTGCAGTTGCCCTGTTATTGCTCTCTATTATACTCTCTATATATATGTTAAAAATACCTGGTTTGATAAAACTAACAAGAAAGAGAACATATTTTACACAAATGAGTCAACATACAAAAAAAAGTTTTGTTTTTAATATGAGAAAACTATAATTCCTTCCACTCTTTTCCTAGGGGCACAGTGAAATATCAGGTCATTCATAATTATGTTGAAAAGGGTGGCCACAAACCACTTAGCACAAATGAGACAACGCAAGGGCAATAGGAAGACAAAAATAAAGACAATAAAAAATCATAAACAGTTGGCCTTCATTGTGGTGGTTGTACATTTCTTTTTCCAAGACATTCTTTAGGCAGAATGACTGAGAATGTTAAAAAACAGAAACATTTAAATTCTTAATTCAAATTCCATTGTCACTTCTACTGATTTTCGGGGATCATATACAGTAGTCTTTGCCTAAGATCCCACTGCTTATGAACCCGGTTCGCTTAAGATCCCGCTGTTTAAAGAAAACAGAATTTTCACTACACAAAAGTCACCCCTAAGATACCGCTCTGATTCTCTCTGAAGTTCTACATTCGGCTAAGATCCCGCATTTCAGATCATAATTTAAGGAATAAAAACATGAGAGGGCATAGCTGATCAACCAAAAGTGAAAAGTTGAAATCATTGAACTGCCCGTCACGTAAAAGATCAGTCACTCCTGTGAATGTGATCACATAAGCGTTGTAAAACTAGTTTGCACACTATAAAAAATAAGCTGGATAGGCAAAACAGTTTCAAAGCAGTCCAACAAAAGAATAAAACTTTGTACAAATTAATTGGCATCACTCAAATATTTTAAAAAATCAAGAGTAGAGGTTCTTTTGTGCTGGCAAGGCTGTCACTGTCACTGTAGGCTATTCATGTGAGTCTTTCAGCCAGCTAATAAATGTATCATAACGCGGTGGAATCAGGTGCTCGTCAATTTTTGGGCATGTTGAGTTATTGGTATCATCTTCGAGCTTGTTCATTTGTCCTGCTTGCGATGATAAAAATACTGATGTATCTTGAAAAGAAGTCGAGATATTTGCGATTGAAGGAGATTGGGGTCGCCTGTTTTTTTTTGTAAAATTAGTGACAAAATGGCCACCAAAGTCTAGTGACTCCCATAGTTTGAGAGTCCTTGGTAATTGAATGTTTTTTTGTTTTAGTAGAGGTTTTACAACGCTCGCAATTGCATAAGGTCATATGAGAGCCAGAAGATTAGAAGTGTTACAAGAGAGTAAGAAACATAAAAAAGAAGGAGGGGAGATAAGGATGATAGATGTTTGATAGGAAATAAGAAGCAAACCACACCAGAGTACCCGCCAACCAACCACTAATTGATTGTTTACTTTTTTGTGCCTTTAATTAACGTTTTTAAGAAAATATTAACACAGAAATGTATTTCTAAATGGAGATAAAAGGTGTTGAGAAAAACCCCAAAATTAGAATTAAATTACTAAACTAGCGGAAATATGCCTGTTTCTTCCTTTTCATTATTTTGACGAGTGCCTGATTTCACCACGATGCGTCACAAATGCTGTAGACCTAATTTGGAAGGAGTTCCGCAGAGGGCCGGCCGACCAACAACACCTAACCCTAACCATATAACTCCTGATAGTTTGCTTAGTGGACTTAGTCACGGTAAGCGCCGGCCCTCTGTGGAACTCCTCCCCCTCATCATCATCATCATTAATGCCTTTCATCCCTGGCAGGGTATAGGCCACACATACAAGCTTCTTCCATTTATCTCTGTCCTAGGCCATCCTTCCAAGCTCGTTCCAAGTGAGCTTCATCTCTCTCACGTCCCTTTCCATGCATCTCCTCCATGTTTTGTTTCCCGTGGCCTACCCCTGCCTCGTGCTCCCTGTGGGTTCCACTGCAGTGACTGTCTTGTGATGTTTCCACTGGGCTTTCTTAAGGCTTAAGGTGTGTCCCATCCATCGCCACTTTCTTGGTACTATTTATTTCCTTTTTTGTGTCCTTTCCCACAGCTCTTCATTTCTTATTCTATCCTGCCACGAAATTTTTAGAATACTCCTCATACATCTGTTGATGAAAGTCTGGATTTTATTCAGTACTGTCTTTGTTGTCTTCCAAGTTTCGCAGCTGTAGAGGAGCACAGACTTGACGTTGGAGTTAAAGAGTCGAATCTTGGTGCGCAGTGAGATGTTGCTCCAAGATAGGGAAAGGAGTCCACTTTTCCAGGGGAGTGTCTTCCACTGTCACAGAAGGGCTTGAAACTATTCCTAGCTTCACTACTTTCGATTTGCCTGGATGAATATGTAGGCCAACACTCCTTGATAGGCTATTGAGTTCCTTGGTCTTTTCTTGCATCTGAGCATGTGTGTGAGAGAGCAGTGCAAGGTCATCGGCGAAGTCCAAGTCGTCCAGCTGCTGCCAAGGGATTCACTGAATTCCATTACGCTTGCCTCCGGTGGCTTCTTGCATGACCCAGTCAATTGCCAGTATGAAGAGAAAGGGTGAGAGCAAGCATCCTTGTTGCACTCCTGTCTGTACCTGGAATGGTCCTGAGAGTTGTCCTTCGTGGAAGACTTGGCAGTTTGTTCTATCATAGGTGGCCTTCAAAAGCTTGATGATTTTGTCAGGTATTCCATAATGCCGCACGAGTTAACAGTTTCCCTGTCCATGCTGTCAAAAGCCTTTTCATAATCAATGAAGTTGATCACGTGAGGTGAATTCCATTCAAGTAAGGGATTGCTCAACAGCTTCCTTTGAGCTTTCACTGCCTCGCATCATAAGCTCTCCATTCGGAGAAGATCCACGACCAGCCAAGCAGAGATATTGGTTTTTGCTTGTGTATGTGTTTCTGTAACAGGTTCTTTTTACAAGAGAGGTTGTTAGCCTCGTGACTCAACCCCCGACCTGGAGGCAGGATGACTCTGTTTCGGGAGTCACTACCTGGTTCGCCATTTAGTCGCCTCGTATGACACGCTAGCACCACGTCTGTCCTATTCTTCTCAATGCTGGGACTGCACAACAGAACTCTTCTCCCTTCTTAAAAAATATAAATTTTCAATTGAAAGGGTTAATAATTACAAGACATTGTCGTAGTCATAAAAGCATAAAGGGATTGTTGGATGTAAAAAAACCCACCAATCCAGGCCCCCTCTACCTTCCACAGAAATAGATTGATCAGTACAGAGAAAAGAAGAGGAGCGGGGTGGGGGCTTCAGATACTGACATTTTAAGATCAAATTGAGGTTTTTGAGAGGGCATAGCCCCTTGACAAAATAAGTTTATTTAGCCTTTAAAGGCTTTATTTATTCATTTTTATAGAAGAGGGTTTTACGGCGCTCGCAACTGCATAAGGTCATATGAGCGCCAAGGGGTGGGTGTCAACAGAGAAGTCTTTACAGGGAATCAGACTTAGACTGCTCACCTCTCTAGCTTCAACAGCACAATTAAGGTCTGCTTCGACTATCAAGGCACCCCGGAAATAGCAGGTCACAAGAGAGTGACAAACATACTAAAGAAGTAGAGGAAAATGACAATAGTAAGGATCAGGACAGAAAAAGCAGCAATTCCCTGTTGTAGATCAGGCACAGTTATGAGCGTGACATGAGTCAGCCCATTTACAAATCTACTATGCTTGAACGAGAAATGTCCCCCCTTTGGGAATGGCCTAAAGACACTACAGTCAGTGGCACTGCCCGGGGGGGGGGGGGGGGGGGGGGAGGGTTAAAGGCTTTAGCATTGGGTAAGATTAAGAGTTCTTGAAGACAACAAAAACAAATCAAGGAATACGGACTTTTGACCATTTGCTTTGTTTCTGACTCACTTCCAAGTTCGGTGGTGCTTTTTCGGTAGTGCCCACCCCCCTTATTTGAGCCTGACCTACATCTAGATCTATACGTTTGATTCACGATGAGCTAAGATATCAAACCTAAACAATAGCAAAACATGCCCCCCTGAAACCCCCCTTCCTATTTTTGTTAGGTCAGGGGGGCAAGCCCCCCTGAAACCCCCCTTCTCTTGGGGCCAAAACCCGTGAATAACAATTGCGGGGTGGGAACTACCGAAAAAGCGCCGAAGTTCGAGCGACCACCCCAACAAATTTAATTATAAAGGTTTGACATCCACTCCAATGCCGGTAGTCGCTAGTTATAATACTTTAGTTAGACTTTAGATCTAGAGCTAGACTCTCTTGATCTAGATCTAGATATTTATATTAAAATTACCATAAATTTACTGAACTATAACAAATGAAGGAAAACAAATCTGTCGAAAGCAGAAGTCGACCAGAAGAACTTGTCAAGCCGAGAAGACTTCTTACCAATAAAATCTGCAGTTCTGATTGCGTACTCTATGCTTGGGAAAACATCTTCAAAATTATCTCTCGTCACTTCAATCATTTTTATTCTCGTTGATCACAGACAGTATTCAAGGCAAAGTAAAAAAACAACAACAAACAAACGGCATAACATTTAAGTGGCTACAGGATTCACTAACAAAAGAAAACACTGCTTCTGTTTAGGCTATCTTATGATGACAACGAAGATGGCTTTCTCTACTTTCGCTTTCCATTCAACTCTTTTTTTTTTTCGCCTGTCGCCCCGCCCTCTTCCGTTAAATTTGTAGTTGATCCAATATTTTGATCTGGCAAACAAAAGAGCAGCTCTTGATTCCAATAAGGAAGCAGTATAATTATTTCAAAGTAGTTCTGTATTTTCAAAAAAACATCTGGTTTATATCTCACTTTACATGGGTAAGTAAAACTGCCAAATAAGATTATGGACGAAATTATCAATTTGTGCCCTCTGAGTCAAGTATTACATATATATATATAATATAACGATTGATCCCTTACCGGAAGTAAACTGGTTGCTACTTACGCTAAGTATCTAAACATGTCGGTTCACAGATAAAGAAACAAGCAGCCTCAATTAAAAGTTTTGCGTTCATCTATTAATTCATCTTTCTGAACGAAAAAAATACTTTCTGCGTTGTGATATTTATCAATGTAAGTTATTATCAATGACTATAGACAGTGAACGATCTTGTCTGTTCGATAGTGTTTGAGCGCGTGAAATCCGCAGCTTGCACTCAACGCTCTTGAGCATGGATATGCGCTATATAAATGCAATTATTATTATTATTATTATAAGTTGATTTTTTAATCCATCTAGCTAAGCCTTGAATATTGTATTGTATAATGCCATGCCCATTCATCTTGATGCCGGCCGTTGCAGTTGAATATCTTGTAGTTCCGTTCGTTAAAGTCCACGATCCATTTGTTTACATCCAGAGAAGAAATCCAGAAGTCTTGATGACCAAATACTATTTGAAATAGGCTACACAAAGAGTAGGGATGCAACCTAAGTGCAAAACATCAAATTAGGGTAAAATTCAGGGGGCATGCCCCGCTGAACCCCCCCACCTCCATATATTTTTAGCAAGTGGCTATTCTCTGGCGTTGCGCTTGTCAATAGATCGGAAGCTATTCTCCGGCGTCACGCTGCCGGTCTATTCTATTACTAATAAATTATTTGTCGGCACAGATTTGCAAATACCTCTCTCATCTGTTTGTCTGGGGAAAAGATTCCTCTAACTTCACCACTTCATGCCACTTCCATTGATACAGACACAGAGGATAGGTTTTCAGACACAAGCTGCCCCAATTCCTCCAATTTAGAATTATGTTAGGTGCAAGAAGAAACGTGTTCACCACTTGTGATGCGAGTTCATAACAAAGAGTGAGCATGAGAAGTTACATTTTCATGGTTTACAAAAATGGAGATACGACAAGAAAGCACTGAAGTTGCGAAATATCAATTAAATTTATCGAAATTTAAAAGCAGTTTTCATGATTTGTTTTTATTATACCCTACTTTCAAAATAATTCAAAATATAATACTTAGAAGTCAAATCTATGAAAACCCTTTAAGCACATTGAAAAAAAATGGTGGATCTATCATTTTTTTCATGGAAACTCATTTTGGTCAAATAAGTGATTATTTTTGTCACTATCAGCCTGTAGCTTGAAACGGTCTGGGGCGACTTTTGGTACCTTTCTCTAGGCGCACACACATATGTAAAATAGTATAGCTTTTATACAGAAGTGAACAAATCAGTTGGATTTGGACAATTGTAACATTCACTGATTTTTTGTCTGATTTGAGCATGTTTCTCTTACATTCAACAAGGAGATGGCTGGATTTCTGTCAGTTGATTTGTTTATATGAAAAGCTCCAACAGAAGGACTTCAAAATCTAGCTTAATTCACTGTACCCCTCCACAGCTAGCACGACATGAAAGATAATAGGCCTGTAAAAATCTCATTGGTCAGCTGTGTGTTGGAACATTGCTTCAATCATTGACAACATGCTGCACGTAGGCCTCCACACTAATTTTGTCATAAATATTTTTATTTTGTTTTGTATAATTGTTGCCATCCTGACTTAATGAATTCTTTACTTAACTCTTGATCAGTTTGTTATATCCAAAAAATGCCCAGAAACCTTCTTTTGGATAGATGATCAGTCTTTTTTATAAAGTCTTGTACAGATGTGAAGACTGAGAATATTACCTTGGTCATCTTAAAAGTGCGTTTCTTTAAATATTTTAAAAGCTATTTTGTATGCCTTTCATTGTAAATATTCCTTACTGGATTATATGTTGATGTAATTGACAAATTTATAAGATGTTATTGTACTTTTTTTTTTCCTTGAGACAATTTTCTAATGGTAAGTGTTATAGTTCATATCCATCTTATCATTTGCAGCAAGTTTTCAGAATGTCAAGCCAAAGAAGATCAAGTCGACCATCCTCAGCTGCAAGCCGGACATCAATGTCAGCTCAGTCAGATGTTGAAACAAAATTGGAATGTCGAGCCGCTTTCCTCGGTCGTTATGATGACATAAGGGATGAAATTGACTCCAAAGATGATCTCATGACACGTATGTTAATCAAGATATTTTAGTTATGACAGTAGCTGCTGTTGTGATGGGGACAGAGAATTTTATGCTGGAATTTTTGCAGAGACAGGAAGCTCTTTCTCCTCTCAACGCCCTAAAGGTACAAGAGGACGGATAAAGTAAAGTAAAGTAAGATTGGCAAGATCATATTATATTAGTTCTGTCAAAAAAATTATTAAATATATGTACTGCAATTTTGCACGGCCCAACGATTACGTGCTTAAATTGGTGATTTAGAATGACTGCTGCTGCTGATCCTCTAAAACTCTACTAGCATAAAAATTTTGGAGAGATAAGCGAAGTCATTTCGTCATCCATAGGCTAATTGGGGTGTGACGAAATGACAGGTTTCCTGAGTGATTATTTGGCTCTTGAAAAAATATGCACAACTGATCATTAATTTGTAGATGATGTATGATTTGAAAACAGCCATCTATTCGGACCACCCTCAAACATCTGCCATTTAATATGGCTGTGTGGGATATTGTATGTTTTCAGGGTATCCTTCACACCCTGGATCCAGGTCTTTCTTGGTCTTCCTCTTGCCTTGTACCCTGATACTTTCCTGTAGTAGGCTTCACTGGTAAGCTGGTTAGGTGCCATACATGTGAGATGTCAAAAGCACCTGATTTTTTTCCTTGGAATGTAGTGGAGGACAGGTGTTGTTCCCACCATTTCTCTGACCTTGTTATTTCTGACCATGTCCCGTCTGGTTTTGTTGACGGTTCTCCTTAGACATCTCATCTCGCAGGTGGTTATCTTACGTTCCAGACTTTTGGTCAGGGTCCATGTCTGGCACCGGTAGGTCAAGGTGAGAGTGAAGATAGAGTTAATGAGCTTCATTTTTGTCTCAGTGGGGATGTTAGGATGTTTGAGGAGTGGAGCAAGCTGGTAGCTAACGCTGTGAGCCTATTGTACTCTCGTCTCAATTTCTCTGTTGAGACGTCCATCTTCAGAAAAGATGCTACAAAGATACTTGAACTCGCTGTCTTGCCAACCACACCTCTCATAAATAATAATACCTAAAAACTTTGTTAATATGACTCGAGAGATTAAATTTTGTCAGTACATATCTTACAGGTTTTTAAAAATCTATTCTTAATTCCATCAACCCTCCCAATCCTCCCCCCAAAATTGTGATTTGCGATTGCCATGACAATGCGTGTTTGATGTTTGAAAGTGTGTGACAAAATGACCGTCTCTATTCAACCTTGTGGGTTTGGACTTTGACGAGATGACTGTGAGGTCCTGACTGCACCGGTGTGACAAAATGACTGTTTGACGAAATGACTGGCACCGAACCTCATATGTTATGTCAAAGCATACAGCTGTGAGTTCACTGTTACAACATTTTGAGTCCTCTGTTTCTGAGTGTGCAGTCTATGTACTGGTATAGTACTTGTGTAATTGTTTTGAATATGCTGTATAGTTGTTTATTATTCTCAAATCGATCTTGTCTATGTAAAAAATTGTTTTTCTCTAAACGTGCTATGTTTATCTTATATTTTTTTACAGTATTGTTTACGTTCAGTTTAGAGTGATATTCTTTCAAAGATGTTTGATTCTCTTGATACAGTTCTACAACAAACTGGAAGAAATCCATCGTCAAGGGTGATATCAAAATACTGGACAAGAAATACAGGTATGGAGTTTTATAGCAGTATCAGGTTTTAAAAATGTGTGCCTTTTATCTAGAAACTTGAGTACCACATGACGTGAGTGTGCATGTGTGTGTGCGACTGTATGTGTGTATATGTGTGTGTATGTGTTTGCATTTGAGTTGCTTTGTTTGCTCATATTCAATAGTAGGTCTTTTTTAGGTGCAACTTATACACTCATATGGAGATGTGTCATGTTTTTTAAAATAATATCAAGAGCACATTCACCCACATTTATTCACCAACTTGCATATGTGTGTTTCTGCACGCATCCACACACACAACTCCCCCCCCCCCAAAAAAAAAAACACACAAAAAACAAAAAATCACACACACACACACTCGCACACACGGACACACACACACACACACACACACTCACTCACACACACACACACCCACACGCACACACACACACACACATTCCTACACCTCTACATGCACACACACACACACATTTATAAGCACACACACATTCCTACACCTCTACATACACACACACACACACACATTTATAAGCACTCACACACACACATTTATAAGCACTCACACACACACACACACACACACACACACACACACACACACACACACACACACACATTCCTACACTTCTACTCTTGCTCTTTCCGAACTGTACTGATTTCCTTCCCTTTCCTGTTCGCAGAAAGTTTAACATTCGATGACTTTGTGGACATATGTCGCCGAGAACCTGTGACATCAGAGGATGAATTGATGAGGGCCTTTCGTAAGATTGATGTCAATGGAGATGGCTACATATCTTTGGACGAACTTTTCAAAGTCATGACCACGGTAAATTATCTTTATTTGCATCATTAGGCTTATTATTTTTTCTGTACATTCTATAAAGGGAGTTTGTTTTCTTAAATTGAAGACAACTTGTACATGGAGGTAAGAAGGCTTTAGATTTTCCAATTCATCCATTAAATTTTGATAGACATTTTGCCAACCTTCGACCTTTGTAGTGTGTTACCTGAGGATCTTGAAGTTGATGCTCTCCTGAAATTTCAACATAATATATGTGGAAGTCAACTATCTTTTGGCAATAACATATACCGAAAGAGGTGACAAATGTATGACTGTGCATCTTTTTTTTAAACAGATAAAAGGAGAAGTTTACATCACTCCCCTCATTATATACACTGTGAAAAAAGAATTTTCATCTGTCCAAGATAACTTAAGTACAACATCTATAGTGACTTCTGTGGCATTGAGTTTGTAATCTAACGTGGTGCTGTGGATTTTTACGAACATGAAAACTGGTAAAAATTATGACTTTGAATACTATAATACATTTTATTTTCAAGTTCTAGAAATGTGTGTACATGATGTTGCCTAAACAAAGCCCTTGTATGTTTATTTGAAGGCAATGATACTGTTATTGTTTATCTTCTACCATCTTTAGACATGATTTTTTTCTTTGTTCATTATGGACTTTTTTACAGAAAGGGGAAAAGATGTCCAGATCTGAGGTCAAAGCAATGATTGATGAAGTGGATGAGAATAAAGATGGAAGATTAGATTACAAAGAGGTACACAAGTTTATTAATGTCCGTCATTTGGTAATCTATTCTCTTCTCCATATAATGCATGATCCATTAGGACATCGACTAGATGTGTTCTTGTTTTTTCCAGCAAAGTTGATGTGTAAATTTCAACTTGCCTATGTCCCAAATGTTTTTATAATTATACTATACATCATATCACGATAATTTTAGAAAGTATTGATGAGCGAAGTTTGACTTAAAAGGCAGGGTGAGGTACAGAGAAATGTGCATGTTTTTAAAAAATAGTTTTGTTGCTGCTGTACTACAGATTACGTAGAACGGTACTGACAAATAAATAATTACCTGTAAGGATATCTGAATCTGTTGCACAATGATATAGATGAATCTTTTATTCAGGTAAAGGACATGTTTATGCCTTTGAAACACTGTTATGTCGTTTCTATTTACAAAGTCTGAAATGAGTTTCTAAAGAATGAATTTGTACTTTTAATTTCCTAAATTTTCTTATGTCATATACTGCTGCTGCTTGGTAAAATTTCTTTCATTTTCAAAATTGAGAAAGCTTATGTTTAAAATGTCTATGGTTGCTTCCATAAGGGAAACAAATTCTTCTACACAGAGGTAACGCACGAAATTTTGTGTGTAATTGTCCTTATTTTCTTTCACTTACACATTTAGTTCACATTCTTTTTATGGACAGTATTGGTCAACAAACTTTGTTGTCTTCTTTTGAATGAACACAATTTTAATTTGAATGGTCAATATGCCTGAAAAATAATTCACCTTCACAGAACTGCCATAGGCTTTGATAGTTTTAAGTTGCTTTAGTTCAATTTACTGCATGCTTGAAAACAAATTAATAGAAATTAGTGTTTTTTTATTCAGTTATATAAATATAGAAAAGATTGGATCATGTAGATAGGCTGGCCAGTGCACACATGTCATTTAACCTCCAATTTGTCTCAACATGACGAACTTAGTGTGGTATACGCCATGGAGATCTCAACATTGAGATCGAGCTGTGTCACACTTATATACAAAACTAGCTGGGCCCCCTTTCGATGAAAGGGATGATCGGTGCAATTAACATAAACTGAAAGTCATTGGCCTACTATATTTACACTTTACTAAAAATGGAGCAATAAATCTTGAGAGATGCAAAAAATTAGAAGGTCTAGATCTAGACTTTCAAAACAAAATGCGACTAGCGAAATATCACTACCTCACCGGATTTTCTAAAATTACAGAGACAGAAGCGTCGGCCTTCAAAAGCGATCGGCGAAATAAAGAAATTTAGTTTTTTGCAGCAAAACTGTCTCAAAACTGAAACAATGAAGGGCACCATGATCTGGAGAATACTTTAAAGAATTTTTTGGCTAAAACCGCATGTCGATCGATGCAGCAATTAAAAAGCCTTTTGAATAGCAAAATTCGGCCACCACAAATAGATAATAGATTCTGACCTCAATTTGTCATGTGGCCTACTGATTGGCTGATGCTGCAAGCTTTATCGGAGTGTGTCCCAGAAAACTGAAGACTTTTCATTGTGATGGGTTGGATTGGGCTGTGCCAAAATCACTGCAATATAACGAAATTTGGCCCTGTTGGTTTGCTGCCAAAGCACAGATCACACAGAACTAGATAGGAATTGCATTACTGTACACAGTTACAACCTATGGAATGACAAAGTCTTTAAAAATTGTCACATGGTCACTATTGTGTGCAGACATGTTTCTGTTTGTCCAGCATCGTTCTGCATCAGGTTGTGGAAGTAAAAAAAGTTTTTAGAGCATGTTTCAATAATTCTTTAATTCCTGACACATTTTAAATGTTGCCATGAAGTGGTTCTTATTTGAATAGTCTTTGAGATATTGTCTCTTTTTATGCAGGTTAAACTTTGTTTGAACCATGTTTTCTGTGTAGTGTCAGTAGTCTAGTGGTTAGGACTCATAATCATGAGGATGCGAGATCAATGTTAAAGGCTTAGCTCAGCCAGACGTTGTATCCTTGGGAAAGGTAAAAGGTACTTCATATAAATTTTCCTCAGTTCGTCGATATACAGTGAAAGGTCTTGTCTGTATTTTAATGTTTTGGCGCCTGTAAAATAGCAGCTTTGAAATTGTTTTTGAATGCTATTGTGTCTGCCCGAGTAATAATATAGATTTTAAAGCTCATATAACTTGCTGTTGAGGAGGAATTTGAATTTGTGCTATTCAAATGCTCTTTATCATTTATTCAAATAGAACACTGCTTTCACTCTAAATGTTGAATAAGAAAAAAGCACTGTGGAGAATTATTGAAAGTTTTATATCAGCAATGTGAACTGATAAGGTATTGTTCTCGACTTCAAAGTCAGTGCATTGGAACTGCTGGTGAATATTCTCATTCTATAATTTGTTTCAAAGTTACTATATCCATGCATGTTTACTTGTCTGGTGCTGATATGATGGATACTAAATGTATTTTGAGATTTCATTTCATACTGTTTGTAATGTTTTCATATCCTGCAGAGTAGTCTTTGGTTTAAATTCTTTGAAAGTAACCCATTTACATTTTGTTTCCTCACAGTTCTCACACATGGTTATTTCAACTGCAGAAGATTACAAAAAGATGTCTATCCGAATGATGGAAAAGAAAGAAAAGCGCAAACTCAAAAAGAAAGATGGAGAAGTGACTCCTCGCAGAGGTTTGTAAAATAACAACTCTTTTAATGTCATTTTTCATATTTTTACTGTCTTTTTTTGTGTGGCTAAAACAGCACCTGGACAAGGATGGCTGGTGCCTCTATAAATAAATTATTGATGGTAAAGGACTGTCTTTTTTCCATTGTGATTTTGTCCATTTTCTTAAGATATTGCAGTATTACATAAATGTTATCAAACAGTCTTGATTATTCAACTTTATGACGAGATTTTTAAAACTTCGTTCAGTTTTTTTTTTCTCCTGTACTTTTGTGTTTTGCTGATGTGAACTGTTATTATTTTGGACTTTTTTCACTCACTCCAGTAACCTTTTGCTCTTGCAGTTCTCTTCACTGTATATAAAGATCTATGACACCTTTGGAAGTTTTTAAAGAAGGCTGTGAAAGTCTTTTTCTGATGGGAAGTTTTTAATGTCGAAATATTTATTAGTGCCCCTTTGTAAATCCTTTATCATGTTGAAATGTCTTTTCTTAGCAATTCTTTTATCTCTGTGTTGGGTACTTTTTAAAATCTTTCTAAAACTTTTACTGTGCTAATGACACAAATCACAATCTTTCAGCTACTACTATTCACCATCAATTTATCTGTGTGATCTAATAAGTGTAAGACAACACTAAAATGTTGTAGCATGCAGTGATGGCGTCATTTGGTAACACATCCTGCTCATATGGAATTGGCAAAAATTTAAGCGTCTTCAAGAATGTAGATGGTGGGAAACTTTGTTGTTGCTTGCACCTTGCGGATTGTGTACATGTTCACAAAGCCAAAAAGGACAGACATGGGTAAATATGATATTGTACATGTTACAATTTTCTTTTCTTTATGTTGTATGATTAAAAAATGTCTTTGAAATTGTTTCTTTTTTTTTCCATTCTCAAAAGAGAAAAAGGTGTACAGTAAATCTGACTGTGTGTACTCATTACTTCTTCTCTTCTTGATGCATACTCACTTTTCACCTCTGGTCTTTGTTTGACCTAATTAACCTGGTGGTCAATCTGGCTGTTTTCATCAGAAAGAGATGATACTTCTCTCGGTTCCCAATTGTCTGTACGGTCATCAGCCTCTGACAAGCGTAAGATGAGAGTGGTTTTGTTGTGCCTTTTTCAAGTAACATTTACTCCGCTCCATCCAGCTAACCCTTATGTTCTCCTGCCTACCTATCCACAAAGTAGAAAAATATCAAGTGTGTGTGTTCCCCCTCGCTGCACCAAAGACCCATTTAGAGTTATTGCAGGAATCTTGAAAAGATGCAGATTTCAGTTGACTGGTTTCATTTTGTTCTTTTTATGTATCATAGTATTGTGATATTTTATCATTCATTTTTAATCTTTCATTTACTTAGTGTAATAAAAGTTTGCCTGGTTGTAATTATTCGTAAACCAGATTTCTTTTTTATATATGATACTCTAATACAAAGCAGGTTTGTATCCACCTGGATATATCTTTATATATGCTTTGGTCGAAATTTAACAAGTGATTTCTTACAATCATAATTCAAATATTGCTGAATTATACTCATGCTTTCTTCGCACCGGATGCTCTATACATTCAATACCGAAATGGCATCCAACTTTTTGCTTGTCTGCTTTTCATTATTTGAATCAAGCTTTCACCCATCTGCAAAACCTTATTTTGCACTCAAAATGTTATATAAGATGCTCCATTTTATTGGTAATATTGCCATCTGTTATACCAAAAACCCAAACAGTTTGTTACGTCCTCCATACCAATATGGGCTTTGTTAGAATTGCTGATTATTAATTTAGTGCTCCTAGGAACTTTTTCTGAGACTCATGTTAATTTTTAAAGTTGCAGAAGTGGAAGGAAGCCTTTTCTGTGGTCTTATGACAGTCTCTGTATGTGAAACTGAATTTAATTTGTATACTGAGCTTTTAATCAGTAAAAAGTAGGCTGACAGTTTTTTAAATTAGTAATGCAAAGGCAATCATTTATTTACTAAAGTTTCTTGTGGCTTCTCCTTTTATGGTGATTACAGTAAGCATGTTGTGATTTCATTCAGGTTCAAAGACTCGTAAAACCTCCTCCTCCTCCCTGAGTAGAGTCTATGACAGTGAAGGTATCTTGTTTGGCGAGTTCATCCCTGTTAACATTAATGTCACATAAGTTGTTTTAAAACTGTCACATTTGGATTCCCAGTGTGAGGTGATTGAGATGATGTGCACAGTTTCAAAATCTTTGATCTAATCCATTATTCACTTTTAAAAAAATGCTGTCTGAGTATGTAAACATTTCCAAAACATATGTGTACTTGTGATACATAGTTCCTCTTTTGAAAGAAATTAATGCTACTGATATTCATTTGACTATTAATGTCACCTAGAGTTATTGTTGATTTTCTCAGCAGGATTAAGAGTTATCATTTCATTTGTATTGATGAATAATACTGTACTCATGTCGTGGAACATTTGAGTGTTCAATCCTACACTTTGTACCATTCACTGTAATTTGTCATCTTTGTTTTTCTCTTTATTTTACTCTCACCTAAAAACTTTGTTAATAATGTTGCTTTTAGTTGATTTTTTTACCTCGTAAACTTTATAAGTAAGTGAGTAAGTTTACTCAGCGTTTAAGGCCTTTAGCCCACATCACATCATATAAAACGGTCATTTGTTAAATTAAGTTTCCAGAATGAAAAAGTACCAGTTGTGCTCAGATCTCTTATCGTCAGTCAAACATTGCATATTTCTATCACTCTGCCGAGTCAGGCTAAGAGGAATTAACAAATTCCTTCTCATAGACTTTGAAGCTTTACAAAAGTGGGCAATGCATGACGGATTTTAGTTCAGTTGGGAGAAATAGACAGAGGGATTGGTATGGAGTCAGTTTTGAAGCTTTCTTCAAAACAAAGGAGCTGTAGGTTGTTGTGGTCACTGTCATTTTCGCCAGACTTCAGTTTTTATTTTCCTATCCCTGTGGATTTTGTAGGTCGCCGGCACAACAGACCTAGCTCGGGTAGCAGAAGACAGTATGTTGATGATCCGTACCAGGAAGGTAGCTCTCACTTTTGCAGCACTGTGTGTGACCTGGATATGTTTCAGTGCACCATAGCTAGTCCACAGTTGTCAGAATTCTGTCAAAATTTCTTCGCGACTTTGCCCTTTCATTTCCTAATAATTTTAAAAGTGGGTGCAACAGCATTACAAAGCTGTACTGATTGCTTGTGATAACCCTTGTGAGATTGTGAACTAATCATTTCTAGCTATTATTACATCTGAAAAATAGAAATATCTTAATGACAACCAAAATGAGAGTTGTAAAAGGCTATGTGGGGTGAAACCTTTTATACGGCTGTGAATGCTGGACATTAAAGAAACTCATGTAGGTCGCTCTCAAATAAGTACAACTAGGATGAGACAAATGTAGTTTCTGGGACGCACATAAATGCCTTGAACTTCTTTCTCTCACTGAAGGCAAATGAGGCAGAGGTCGACCCAAAGCAACTTCTTGAGAAGCCAGAATGGATGGGTGATGGGTAAAGACCAGACTAATATAGCTTTTTTGAGAGCATCAGAGCGAAGAAATCAATGGTGAACCATGATGGCCGATGTCTTTTGTAGATCTGTAGATGAGAATGATTACATTTATTCATGTTTGTGTAAACCACATCGACAGCTGGACACAGAAGAAGTTATCTTTCCCTTTCTCAGTCTGGAGAATTTGGTGATTCAGAAGGAGAATGGTAGTAATCATAGTAGTGACACAGGTGAAGGCATAAGCTAAATGACAGTGAAAATTGTGTTTGCTTTCCATCATCGTCATCATTTTCACCATGTAGTTTGCTGTTACAAAAGATTCTGACAATACTTTTAAGCTTTTTATCAAAGAAAAGGAAATCTTCCATTCAAAACTTTGTGCTTAGTCAACTGGGTGGCTTTCTCATTTTATGCATCTCATTTTTGATGTTTGACAACCATGAGGAAAGAGTCATTACAGAAACAATGTATTCTAGTATCAAGCTATGTTTCATCGTAGCCGCATCGTGCTATTTGAAGAAATATGGACTCTTTGGAAAGAAATGAAGCAGTCTCGACTGATGAGACAAGTAATGATATTTCCAAGGATAAAGTAATAGTAATGGACTTTCATTTTTTATCACATATTTACAAATTTGGAGAATCAGAATATCCCATACCCATAGCAGCTAGCAACAAATTACTTCTCAGGGCTCCTCCTAAAACACACATGATACACTTTGTGATAAAAGGTGTTATGAAATGTCTCTTCGCCATAGTTGGGAAAGCAGACGTTCAACGTGTGCTGTTTGCCTATAATACCGTGGTCCATGACATGTACTGCTGGTTTGTTTTTGTTTTTAATATGCTCACGGCAAATAGACTGTTGTGTGCCCACATTAATATTATCATTATGTTGACAGATGACAAATATTTTGTTTTCCTCAACTTTACGTCAATAGCTGTTGCCCTGCAGTATTTTTAAAAAAATCAACACAACATTGATGTGATAAATTTTATACTGGAATCTTTTATTTCATACGACTCAAAATCTCCTTTTGTATCGTAAACTTCATAATTTCATTACATGTGCTGTGAACAGATACATCTTTTCAAGGTATCTGTTGCATACGAATTTGATGTGGCATCAATACAAAGACAATTTAAACCTTAGAAATACCAGTACTGCTGAAAACTTGCATTATTGAGTCATCTATGTTTGTTGACTTCTTAATGTATATATTGTCCTTCTTTTTGTTCATGTCCCTCTGTATGTTTTTTCAGTGACAAGTCCTCGCCAAAGATCGTCCTTAACACATCCAGAAATGAATGGTACTTTTAATATATTATAGAAAATATGTCTTGATATGGCTTATAACATAATTTTTTAAATTTTGAGATGAATCTCTTGATTCATTTCTCCTCTTTGAAAGCTCAGCTCTCTAGCATCTTCTTGCTACAGAGGCAGAGTTCTTTAACAGTCCCTTTTTTTCAGTCCTTTGGTTTCAAATGAAAATCTCAATCTGGTATAAAATCATATTGAAAATATTGTCTGTGTCTTGCTGAGACTGTTGTGGTTTTATAAAATCCAATTTGTGTGAATTAATATGCTGGTAGGACTGTGGCTGAATGGGTGTGTTTGTCTGATTATGTGTCATTGTCTATGTGTATACATTTGCTGTGTTCATTCTTCATGCTGCATAAAGCTGAGGAAGAATTTTTTTCCTGGTGTAAATACATTTTTTTCTGGAATAAAGTTTTTTTTATTGGGTTTTTTTTGCAATAGTTTTTTATATCCATTTTCCAGCTCAGAATCGGAAAAGTTCCAGGCAGTCTGTTGCTGCTGAGGTCTTTCACAATGGTACTGTTGTTGTGATTCTTTGCTTATCAAACTTAAAAGGTCTTTACTCTTTAGATATTGAACACAGATTGGAACATTTATTTTTGACACAAAGAAAGCAGTTATGACTCATTTTCAGTGACAGCCTCCAAAGTTTGGTGATTCAGTAAACAATTCATACTCTTGTTTTATCTTCGTCTTTATCTTCTTCCTCTTCCTCTTTTTTCATGTCTACATTCCAACTTTTATACTCAGGAGAAGTTAACCAAGAGTGCCTAGGATTTTCTTTGTTCTTTTGAGAACATCTTATATTATGTTATCTTATCTTTTGGTACCTTTTGCCATCCACCTTCCAAACTTCCCATAAGTTAATAATTATTGGGGTTTTTATTCCCTGACTCATTCTTAATACAGTAAAGAAGCTTACCTGAGGTGTGTCATAAGTTATTCAGAGGGAGAAAAGCTTTCATTAAGCTAGAGGTTTTTGGGGGTTTAGAGATACATTGTTTCCATTTGGTTATTTTTCTGTTAGTTGGGAATGAGGAATAATTCACTAAATATTTGATGGTGTGCTCACTTTTTGCAAACACTGCACGTTTCTCATAGAGTTCCTTGCTCCTATCAAACCTTCTGTCTTATATATATGGTTTTCTCCTAATTATAATATGCAAAACTTTCAGTTGCGTTGGTGTGCTTTCCTCTTCCTGAAGCTGTTCTCTCCCTATCCCATCTCGGAGAACCTTCCAATTACTTATGCTTGGCTTCGAATTTTATAAGAAATTCCATTAAGTGTCTCCATAACAGATGCGAAGTGTATAATTTTTGGTGTTCAATTAAATATTGTGATCATTGCAGAATTGCTGTTTTTGTTATGTCTTCTTTCTTTTTTGTGAGTATGAATTAAATATTTGGCGTCCCGTAAAGTATGTTACAACTCATATAATACATTGCTTTTTCTCCTATACAGCTGGCCGCAGACCATCGAAACATTCCATTACCAGTGAAGCTGCAAATGGTAGTTTCATTTACTTTCTGTAAAAGTTTTATACAAATAAAAATATCTGTCCTTTACTTATTAAATTAAGTGTTAGTTTCTTTATCTTCTATTTTATTGTTTCAAATGATCTTTCAGGGCTTTTTGTAATTGTTCTTTTTGATAGGATGAGACTGAGAATGATGACTTTTTTAAAAAGAAATAATTAAATCTGTCTGGTCAGCTCTCCTACAACTGTGCAAGGCAATCAGATTTCTGTAAATGGACCTCTCTTAATTTTTGGTGTCCTTTTTCAAGTGGGTGAATTTCTGAATAAGTTCTGTAAGAAATGTGAGACATCAGGTCCTTCCCTGACCATCTTTTAACTTGAATATTTACAAGCTGTGGCAGGTTCCTACTGTCACATATATATGATCATTTTGTGCTTTCATTTTATTTTTCTGTCATCACTTCACTTGTCCCAACAAGTTCATTCTCTTGCATATTGAATCTTTAATTGTTTTGCCATCCCAGTTGCATAGTTTCCAACCTTACTTACATCATTATAACCTTTCAACAGTTAGCTTACCGAGAAGTGAATCAAGACAGTCTCTGCTCAGCCATGACATGGATGATGGTATTCATGGTTTTTTTCTATCTCCTGTAAGACTTGCTTTGGTTGGGGTACGCTGGTGACCAAATCAGCTGTTAGAGTTTGCTGCATGAATCATTTGGGAAACGAATTGAAGAGTCACAGAAATTGAATGAATTTTGGTTGTTTATCTTGCTTTGTACTTAGTAGAGGACTTGATTTTAATTCTAGAAGTTTGAGTTTGTTGGTGTGATTTTCCACAGATGCCTTGTATACTGCATTAATACTTTCATTGTTATTGCACTGAACGCTTCAGTTGAATGTTTTCTTCACTTAAACTGCTCAATAAGTGAACACACTTTTCTTGCTTTTGTGGCTGAAGTCAAGTCAAAACAATTTTTTCCACTGGTGGTTAGGGAGGACCGCAGGTAGGTCCTACTTCTTTCCTTTCCCCCTATTCTTTCTGTCTGTCTGTCTTACTTTTCCACAGCACCAAATTTCCATTATTCCGATGTACTTTTCTTTACCGAAACAACGAACAACAGTTTTTTCCAATAGTATTTCAATTTTTTATTTCGATTATTCCTAAAAAACTTAGAAATGTTCTTATCAAATCTTTGAGAGAATGATCGCAAAATGTTAAACAAATTATGTACTTTAATGCTGTTAGGCTATTTTGTAAAAGTTTTTTTATAACGTGATGTTTTTGATATTCAGACAAGTTTCTTACATTTTTACAGCCCCTAGTTTGTACCGCAGTGTGTCCAGACAGTCGCTGCTGAGTAACCTTCATGGGGGTATTGATACCTGTCACTTCAGATTGCGCACCAGCCCCACATTACTTGGTTGTGGATTTTACAAACCTGAAACACTTCTTGGTTATTTTGGCACTGCTTGAGACACGGGGAACTGTTTAAATTAGTTTGTTAAATCTATGTAAGTTTAATTGAGGGTATAGTATTGAGTTGCAAGCTTCCAAGAGGACAGCTCTAAGACACACACTTCATGCTACAGAGTTCTTGTATTTAATCATTCTTTGTACTGGTTCATGTTGACCCACGTCCCATCGTAGATGTGCATTTAAATTTTGTTATATGGACTGTCCCGTTTTGAATTGTTCTGAAGAGGAGCATTTAATATCATCAAAAGCGAAAGTAAAAGAAGTATATGCTTGACAGAAGTCACATTCCTTTTTTATGATCACCGAGAGCCACTGCAAATAAGATTTTTTAGTTTTTTGATAGTCCTAATAGTTACTGAAAGCTCGTCAATGTGCAGGCACTAAAAATATCTTGACTTCAGAGAGTGTTTGATGGTGTTGGCTTCTGATCCGACCAATTGACACTGCTGCACACGCCCAAATGCTTTGCTTCATGGTTTGTGATTTCTTTTTTACTCTGCCCTCGTTTGTCTTAATTCTTAATGATGCAGTTCCTGTCAAAGCTTTTTCATTTTGCAGCCACTGACATGATTGGAAAACAATGGTCAACTGATGAATCACCTGTTTTCTAAACCCAGTACCTTGATCAAATCTTTCGCCCATGTCAACCTCATTAGAATCCTGTTTTATAGAGTTTCTTCTCTGTGTTCAAACTGAAAATTGCCTTAGTTGTTGTTAAGAGTGAGAAGGGAACAACATTGAATGACTGTAAGTAAATACCTCCTTTGGAGAAGGTCATATAGGCCTATCTTGTTTATGTTCACCCCAATTTTTGATAGACCATTTTTGTTTTTTATGTCTACTCTATGGCCTTTAGCGTCCTGACAGACAATGTTAAAGGAATTTACAAGATACAGTTATTCTGGGTGGTACATCTAGTCTTGACAGACAATTTTCAAGGAATTTACAAGTTACAGTTTTACTGGGTGGTACACCTAGAGATAGTATATTGCCCAAGTAAAACTCCTGTTTCTTCAGATTTTCTTTGCTATGCTTCAAAGGAGAGACATGGTCTATACATTTGGATTTGAGGAAGGTGTAAGGGTGGGTCTTGTAGTATTTTACAGGTGTGATAGGGATATTTTTGATGGCACGGAATTTTCAAACTTTGAATTTTCTAATGTAGCACTGAAACATTGACATCAAAATCTGTGCGAACGATTGTCTTTTCATACAGGAACAAAACTCTTAATACCAGCATGAATACCAAATAATCAAAGCATGGCTCACACTCACACATGCAACGCAGGTCTTTTATGTATATGTTGTATTTGTACCTCCCTGTATCTGACAACTACCTTCCCGAATGAGTATGGCTACATAAACCCATGAACGACGTACACAGGTATCATCTGTTCTCTCTTTTGAATTTTACTTCTCTAGATATGATAATGACTGCCGGTCCCATCCATGTTGCCTTGCTTTTTTACTTGTCAAAATTACTTTGTCTGGAAAGTATATGTTTGAGATAATGTTTGTATCCTTTCCTCACACCATGTCCTGCATTGGTCAAGTTTGGTTTTGACTTAACCTGGCACCATGTTGATTCCATCTACCAGTATACAATTGTACGCTGGGCTTCAGTTGAAGTTTTGCACTCTATTCCCATGTAGGCCTAATAATGTATCAAGAAAGACTTGATTGCCTTCTTAAGTGTGAATTTCAGGTCATTATAATTTCATGAGGTGGGAAACACCTAAAGATGCCATCTTTTACAGAAACGTTGAGTTGTTTGGTTTTTATTTGATAGTACGGAATGCTGGATATGTATGTGCCTATTGCTCCCTCACTATCCACCCCCTCCCCCAAAACAACCCATTCCTATTCCTACTTTTTGCTGTGATTGGTACATTTATCAGTAGTGGTAGTAGTTAGGATTATCCTGCTTATACTAATTACTTTGAGTTACTTTGCGCCCAAATATGGGACGACTTTGTGTTTTTGTGTCACTGCTTTGACAAGATAACATTGGAGTCAGAAATTGTTGGCCAGAAACCATTGTAAATATAATCCCTCAAAGTGTTTTAATAATAGATGAGAATATTTTTTATCACAATATTTTTTAGCTTACAAACATTGGGAATACATAACCCTTTCTCAGGTCGACGATTTCAAGACTTTTTTTCTACTGTTTAGAGAGTGATATTTATGGCAAACGGTTCCAATATATTCAAAGTTTAAATCAGACTTTCCAGTTGTTCGTATACCTTTGAAGACTTTTATGAAATTCAAACAACTCTCTTATGTTTGTGCCACAGCACAGGTTTAAGGTCCCATTTCTCTTGTTTCCTACCATTTGATTTTCTATACATTATTCTCATGGGTTCAAGCTTGTATAATAAGTCATAATAATAATAATAATAATAATAATAATAATAATAATAATAATAGTAATAATAATAGATAGCATTTGTATAGTGCACATTCCTGCTCGACAGCAAGCTCTATGCGCTTTTCAATCTCCATAATTCCCCCAGCAGACCTGATAGCATTTGAAACAATCTCAATTTCCTGTGAATTATGTATATAGTATACCGCATACCACCTGGCACGAAATATAGAAACTGTGAAATTTGTTAAAACATTCAAGAAATCAGTTTTGTATTCATTCAACAAAGTCCTCCACATGAAACTTTTGCTGCTTATAATGTGTCAAAATGAATAAGGTGTTTTCAGAAGTGGGGGATTTCTGAGCTGTATACTCATGGGTTGTTGGTGCGGGGGGGGTCTAGTCTGTTGTTATATCTTTTAGACTTGGCACAGGCACTAATTACTTTCTTAATCAGGATATTAAAACGGTCAAAGGAAAAATGAAAACACTTGCGCTTTGTGTGTTTCAGAGGACCTGTCTAAGGGGCGTCGAGAAAGTCGCCCACGTTCCGCAGGCAGAGCCGGGAGAGGGCAGGAACCCAACAATATCAGGGTAGGTTGTATTTTGTTTTTTCTGGCTCGGAAACTCTATTTCTTTTTGTCATAGGCTTACATCTCTGTCTGTCTGTCTGTCGGTTTCCATGCAAAGGTGTGTGTTTTATGTGTGTGCGTTTGTTTGTGTGCCGGTCTCTCTGTCAGTCTCCACGGCTTGCTGTGTATGTCTTTTGACAATCTTTTAAATCATCTATTCCTCCTATTTATGGTATACAGTGGACACCATGGACACAGTTGGACGATCTGGATTTTTGCAGACAACTTGGTGCTTCTGTCGCACACCCAGGAACAGATGCAAGCAAAGACTTCAGTATTAAACAGCCTATCAGAGTCTGTTGGATTGAGGATCCACCCCGGAAATTCAAAGGTCCCAAGGACAGGTGCATAACGAAAGGAGCAGGTCACAATAGAAGGAAAGGCACTAGAAAACGTTGAATCCTTCTGCTATCTTGGGAGTATAATTGACAGAGAGGGAGGAACAGGTGCTGAAATATAGTCCTGCATTGGAAAAGCACATCCTGCTTTCTTATCTTTGGATAGGATTTGGAATACCAGAGATATCTCACTTCGAACAAAGCTGAGGATTTTCAATTCAAATATGAAGTCGGTCCTGTTGTATGGATGTGAGACATGGAACGCATCACAGACTTGCATAAAGAGGATCCATGTTTTCTTGAACAGGTGTCTAAGAAAGTTACTGAGAATCAGATGGACAGACAGGGTCACCAATGTGAAAGTGTTAAGGAAAACAAGACAGATCCCAGTCAGAGATGAGGTAGGAAGAAGGCAGTGGCGATAGATTGAACATACTCTCAGGAAGTCTGGCAGCTGCATAACAAAGAAAGTTTTGGATTGGAACCCACAGGGTAAGAGATCAAGGGGAAGACCGCGGGGAACCTGGAGAAGAATCACAGAAATCGATGTTCAGAAAAGTGGGAAGACATGGAATAACATCAAGTGGCTAGCCCAGGATAGAGAAAGGTGGAAGGTGTTTGTCCGTGGCCTATACCCTGGTGCAGGGTGAGAAAGTGTTTGTCCGTGGCTTATACCCTGGTGCAGGGTGAGAAAGGCAATAATGATTATGATTCCTCCTATGTATAATAATGATTATGATTCCTCCTATTTAAAATAATGATGATGATTCTTCCTATTTATAATAATGATTATGATTCCTCCTATTTATCTCTTTTTTCGCACAAACTTTGATGTCAGAACTTGGTTAAACCCGGTCTGATTCCCTTCACAAGTCGTTTTATTTTATACAGGTACATCCACTTTATTTTTTATTGTCTAAATTCTGCCCATCAAAGGGAATTGTTAATTCCCTCCGTCTCTGCTCAATGACAGAAATATGCATTGTTTGACTCAGACTCATGAAACAAATGAGTGTTTTATATAATGTGGTGTGGGTCAATGGCCTTTAATCCTGAGTAAACTTACTTTTTGTACAGGACTGGACTGGTGTAAGCAGCAAAGGCGCGTTTTTCCTGGATGATGAGAGTGGCATGGTCACCCACTCATACAGCTTGGTTTTGTCAGAGGATACAGAGGTCTGGATCACTATTCAGCCTCTCAGGATTGGGGAATCTGGTAAGTTAGTAAGTGTAAGGGTTCAACGCCCCTCTCAATACAGATTTGTTATTCAAGAGGTGGGACCCCTGAATTTAAAGTCCATCCCTGATAAAAATAATAGTAATAACTCATTCTTCAATCTGCAGAGGATAATATTTGTCAAGCGAAATAGAAGAATTTGAAGACCAAAGCTTACGGTGACTTGTGGCTTCTACTGTGGCCAATGAGACCAATTTTGGGAGAGAAAAGTTTGCCACGTTTTGAACATTTGAAGGTTCCACTTCCACTTTTCGATGCATAATTCAGCTTGCTGGCTTCTCTCTTGGTTTCAACATTTCTTATCCGGGAAGCTGCAAATGATTTACTGCCCACTGTGACTGCTGCTCTCCAGCTGGGTCTCTCAGGATCATCTCTAATAAGACTAAGACAACTGAGTCAATTTAAGAGACTTGAAAACTCCACAACACAGCCTGAGTTCAAGGATGCCCTGTTGGGGATTTGAACCAAGGCCATTCTTTCCTTTGTCAGGCATGATACTAACTGAGTTAACAAAATCTGTGAAACCATAAAGAAAAAGTTATCTATTTTTTCAGATAGTCTTTTCTTTTGGTTTCTGTTCTTGACTCACTGCCTACCCACCAAATGTCTCATAGCTATCCCCTAATTGCCATTACAATGTGTATTTTAAAAGATCAGTGTAACATAACTAACTGACATTGAGTCTAAAATAGATCTGAGGTAAAACATGATAAAATAGCTTGTGCTGCAGGGGCTGCAGCAAAGGTAGGTAGGTGAAATAGAACTTTGACCGAAGCATATGCAGTATTGATAGGCGGTGAGTGAAGATGCCGGGACGTGGAAGGAACATGCATTATTCAGAAAAGGGCTGTAATTTTGGAGACAAAAATAAAAAGAATGTCTTTGGGAAAGAGAGTAACACTTCATAAATCTTTTCATTGACTTTCATTCACAAACATTCTAACCGTAAGATGTGAGTGAGCTATATTTTAATGACATGGGCTTTGGCTATAATGTGTTCTTGAAACACATAAAAAGAATACATTTCCTTAAACACAACACAGAGGACAAGCAACCTCTCTATGGAGTATCTCTTGTGCCAGCAATCTGACCTCGAGCTGTCTTTATATATATATTTATAGCTTTCCCTGTTTATTTTTTGTTTTCTATTTTCCTCCTTTTCTCCTTTGCTGAACATAAGGACCGAACATAAGGACCTATTGTAATCATTTGTGGCCAATCATAAAAGTATTTTTGTAACATTTCCAACTTTTTTTTGTTTTTGATTTCACAAAATATATGAAAAAATGAGATTGATTGAAAATCTTGTTTGTTTGTTTTTTTAAATTTCAGGAGAAAGTCTTGATGGCACCGTCATTGACACAGCTTTATTTGTGCTGAATGCAGACGATAACTCTTTAGTTGCATTTACTGAAAACAGGGACAGCAAAGGGGTGAGAGCCAAAGTAGAAAGTAACGCAATATTTCATGTTATAATCCTACTGCCAATCCTGTGCCAGTCCTTAATTCTTTATTTACATACTGCCTATTGAAAAGCGTAACACATGAAATTTAATGTGTTAGATTGCCTTATCAGCCACTAGCATGCTTACGATTGATGTGGACCATCCCCTTCACAGATCTTCATTTGTGAAGCAAAGCCATGATGATGATGATTCTCATATTTTGTCCTGGCTGATTACCAAGTTCACATTTGCAGTGAAGTTGGTCATCAGGATGATATGGTATATAGTACCTTTCTTTAGGATACCATGTCATGATAGAGTCAGGAATTGAACTTACAACATATTTAAGGTACAGCCTGAGGTATTATAAGATGGTATATCTGTTGGTGGCTTTTGTATAATACCTACTTTTGCTTCTAACAATGTGAATTTTCTCGTAAACTAAATTTTCTACAAAACTTTTCTAGTGAAATATTGTTCTATATTATATTGATGTAATATATTCCATTTTCAAACATGACTTTTCGTTTTTCCACCTCAGTAGGGAACTGTCTAAAAAATGTTTTCAAAAAGGTTCATCATGCTTGTGTCTGTCTTGAGACTATTTCTCTTCTTCCACACTCAGAAATACTCCTTGCGGTGCAGCCTCTCTATGGGAACGTACACACTGATCCCATTCACAACCGGATGTCGTCTGAAGCCACGGCGTGACACCTCCACTAAAGATGCTAAGCTCATCACGAAAGATAAGGAAGGCAAAATTGCCCTCACAAGAGCTTTCAGGTAATGTGATTATTCTACAGTCTCTTTGAATCAAGAACAAGAGCTGAATTTTGATGTCTCTATTGATACATAGAGCCCATAACATAGCACTTAACAGCTGAACCATCTGTACTGTCACAGCACAATCTTTGCGGAAAGCTAAAAAGGTTATGTTCATAATAATTGGTTCCTTGGCTTTTTAAATTGTTTATTATGAATCTGTATTCTAAAAATTGCATGTTCATGATTATTGTTGCTACATTTTTACAGAAAAGCTCTGGAAGAAATTTTTGAGATGGCAGATTTGGATGGAAATGGTCTGCTGAGTAGAGATGAATTCAATTGGTATAACCTTCGCACCAGCGGGGAGGAGATCGCTGATGATGAATGGCAAGTTGTGGAAGGTGAGTGGACATTGCTGGAAGGAGATTCAGGAAAAATGAAGTAGGACCTCCCATTTCAAACTGCTTGACCTAGTGTGCAACATCTGGGGTCACCATGGGGGTCATAGTGGGGCTGAGTCTTGCTGGAACAGGAAGTGATTATCATGATGTGCGAAGATGTTGGGGTTATGTTTTATTTTTACAAGAGACTATATATCATCCAAACGGATTCCCACTCTCATACATTACACCTGGAAATTGTCTTTCCTGAGTGCTGGGGCGGATAAGAGATTTATTTTAAGTTGCTCAACTCAATAACTGAAGTTTATACTGTCTGTGTAGTTTTACTGTCTGTGTAGTTTTACTATTAAGAAGGTTTAAAGCAAAGTAAAATTTTTCCCTGAAATTGCTTACTAATTCATTGATTTGTACTTGTACTACTCACAGATAACATAGATCTAGAGAAGGGAGAGATCACCAGAACTGGTTTCTTACGACTGAATGAAATGGAAGCAGATGACAATGAAGGAGACACAGAGGACTTGTGGATCACGCTGAACGGCATGGGATTCAATAAGTCTCTCATTCTCGATGAGGTACTTGCACTGCACTTGTTTTATTTTGTTGGGTTTATTTACACATATTATGCTAAACGTGGAACCCGCAAGGAAAGCGTAAGAAGGGAAGACCAAAGATGACATGGAGACGAGTGGTACAAGTGGAAATTGAAAAAGCAGGGACATCATGGAAACAGATAGAAAAGGATGCTCAGGACAGGCTTCGCTGGAGTAATGTTGTTGATGGCCTGTGCTCCACTGGGAGTTAAAAAGGGCAAGAGAGAGATGCTAAATGAAGAATCTCTTTGAAAAAACCAGCTTTAGGGAGGCTCCAAGTGTCATTTCCCCTCTTCTTTTCCCAGTAATATCTCCATGTGCTCGACACACTAGATCCAGGCCTGGTTCCTCCTACCCATGTCCCCATACCTGTCCCCGTGGTTTTATGCACCCTGCATAATTTAGCAAAATTTGATCATTTTTTGCTTAATTTCTGATTACTTTCCTTTATCATTGTTAAAATTAACAGAATCACATAATTTCACATTTTTGGGCTCAGTTTGCATAATTTCAGAATTTTCCTTGCATAAAATGACGGGGACAGCCATACAGATGGGCTCTAAAAATGACATGTACTGCTATAGGAATGAGCTGTAGGAAACAAATGACTCTGTGTCCTTATATTATTTCATCAATAAGTGTAAAAGGAGTACAGACTTTCTAGGGAAATTTGTGATATTCTCATTTGTCAAATGTGTTGTCTGTCATGGACGAGGACTCGCTGTACACTCTTGTCTTTTGCAGCTCTTTTGTGACTTGCTTGGAAATATCCTGTCAGAATGTTGTTGCCTTTTTGTTCCTCATGTTGTGGATGATGGTTCTATGATAGCAGCAAATTTTGTCTCTGTCAAATTTATCCAATATTTGTTTTGTTTCCTGATGCTTCACCCACATGATGTGACCATACTTATTTCTCCTCTGTGAGCCCTGGGTCTGGATGACACATACACAACTTCTTCTCGACGTATACAACGACATGTGGCAGTCGCACGCCTTTCTGGAGTCCTGGCGACTTGCCACTGTCATTTCAATTCCAAAACCAAACAAATTCCACACGCACACATCCAACAGACCAATTTCCTTATCGAGCTGTCTGTGTAAACTTATAGAATAAATTATCAACAGGCGACTCATGTGGTTTGTGGAGATGACGGGCTAGCTGAGTGGTCTCCAGTGCAGATTCAGGAAAACTCGATCCACTCTGGATCATCTGGTCTGCCTGGAGACTTTCATACTTGAGACTTTTTGCTGAAGGAGGCCACATGATCGCCATTTTTTTAGCATAGAAAAGGCTTTCGACGCAAACTGGAAGTATGGAATTCTTAGAGACCTTTCACTTTCGGCCTGCGCGGCCACCTCCCTGCCATCATTAGCAATTCCCCTTAGAACCGTTCCTTCCAGGTTTGTGTTGGATCCTCCTTTTCAGATCCCCACCAATGGGAGGAAGATCTTCCCCAGAGAAGCATCCTTTCCCCTCTCCTCTTTGAAATTAAAATCAGTTCTATAATCCAGACCCTCTAAAACAACATAGACAGCTTGTAATACATTGACGCCTTTCTGATATGCTGCTGATCCAAAAATCTTCATTTAAGATTTATGGAAAGACAGCTGCAAACTCAGCCGTACAAACTTGAAAAGTGGGCAAACAAAAATGGTTTCAAGTTTTTCCCGACAAAGACGGTTGCAGTACACTTCTACCATTCCGACAGACTTGTACTGCAACCGGATTTGACTCTATATGGGGAGGGATTCCTGTCCAGAACCAGGCTCATTTCCTTGGAATAATATTCAACAAAAAACTTACTTTCCTACCACATATATAAAACCTTCGTGTGAGGTGCAAGAAAGCCTTAAACGCTTTAAAGATTCGATCTCATCTGGAGTTGGGTCAAGACTCCAAACATCTTCTCCACATTTACTGTGCTCTCGTCTGATCCAGGCTTGACTATGGCTGTCAAGTCTATGGATTGGCACATTTTGAAAATGCTAGGCCCCCGTTCAAAACCATATGACCTTCTGTAGTTGTGAGTATTGTAAAACTTTTACTTAACTAATTCCTCTATGCTTCTTTCCATGTCAGTCTCTCTCACTTTCTTTCTCTTTACTCAGTCTCAGGAAAATGAATCCTACAGTCTCTCATCAAAATCAATACATGTATGTCTACACTGTGGCAGTGTCAAAAGTGTTCTTACCTTATTTTGAGAAAATCACTATATTGGCTCCTATTGCATCATTCTAGGAGTGTTCATTTGTTTCTACCAAAAGAACAAAAGCATTTTAGATCATACTATCAAAATGCTTTCATGTTGGCATATTTTGTTAACATGTTGTAATGATCTTCAGATTTATTTTTCAAAAGTTCAGTTTGTTTTTTTCCTCTGCGAATGGAAACTTTTGTTCTACTGTGTAGAAATGTATTCAGAATGCTGTGATGACAATGATGTGATGTAGTCCCAATGTCGTTGACAGGCATGCCCTTTCCTGCTGCGGGTGTACGCTGAGGCTTGTGATGATCCTGAGCTGACAGTGACTGGCCTTGATGCCAATAAAGAGAAAATTAATGAAGCAGTTTGTGAATTGGCCATTTCTAAGGTAAGTTTGAATCTATTCAGAGGATTCAGATTTTTTTTTCTTTTAAAAAACTGCGTAATGACATTGTAGTATTAGTAGTACATACATCTCTCCCCTAAAACGTTCTTTAATTACTGGAATAGAAGCTTTTAGAGTCAGAGTCCTTTATTTCCTTTAAAAAACTTGTTAATTAAGTGAATGCTACTCAAGGCAAAAAATGGATGTACTGACAGGAAGATGGAGAGGAGTATACTTGCCATACTTAATATAGTTTAACTTTTCTTATTTTTTTATTTTTCTGGTCCTGTCACAAAATATGTCAATTTAACAGTTAGTAAAATAATTGTTCACAAACCTAAGAAATGATAACATTGTTTGTAATAAAATTTGTTGCACTAACACTTTTCACTTCTATCTGATCTCAAAGAAGCTTGAGACATTGGTCTAGCCTTGATTGTAAACCTTTGTCTTGGCCACCAGGGAGAGCCCAGTAAAGTGAGAGGCATGAAAGATTTGACAATGTACACTTACTCCAATGACCACAGGGCCATGATTGTTGTCGACAATAAGGTGAGATTTTTTTGGCGTCAATTCTACTGAGCATCATCTCTTATAAAAGTGAGCGGTTTTATGCAGCTGCATTTGTCAGCATGTCTCATTCTTATGAAGGGTAGGTGGTTACTCCGTTAAATACTTCATTTCCTTGTGACGAGCCTGGCTGCTAGCACATACCTTGATAGGAATAAAGAGGAGGAGGTAAATAGTAGAGCTAAATTTATGAATCAGTCGAATCTCTTTATTATTGTGAGCTACTCCGATGGATTGCTCCACATAGTCCACTGTTGCAGGATTCAGTAGTCCAGCAATCCGTAGGTTTTTGTTATTTAATGTTAAAGGTTTGTTTGTCAAACTTGGGCAAAGTCACAATTTCAGAATGCAATGAGTCTTTTTGTGCTATCCAGTAATAATTTAGCAATACAGAGTTATGTCTTTCTTTTACCCAGCACTAAGTAACTGCTGATATTGTGTTGATATGCTCCCTTTTATTCAAACTCAACTTTTTATTCCGTTGCATGTTGACGTCTCTGTTGTGTTAGTCGAAGACTCGAGTAAAGATAGAGCTGGACTGCAGCAAACGTCGTGGACTGGTCAGCCACACAGGTTCCTTGGTTGCTGCGGTGACCGCTTCCCCTCAGACAGCAGTGGTGAGAGTAAATTTTTTTCATTCTTTTTCTCTACTTACTCCTCCTATCCTTCTCGATCACATCACACTTGAAGTTGGGTATCTATCATATACTAAGCTGTCCTACTCAGTTCTTCTGTCGGCCTGCACAGCTTCTCCTGTGTTGTGAATGGGGCTGGCCACGTTTCCTGTCTCAGGGCTCTGTATGTCCAGCACTGCTGGAGGATGTGTTCTAGTTTGATCTGCTTCTCCATACTGGCATTTTGGTGATTGTGCTAGTTTTAGAAAATCTGTGCATGTGTTGTCTGAGTCTTGTGTGGTGTGTTCTTATTCCCCTATTCTTTGGTTACCAGTTGAAATTATCGATTGAACAGGTTTAACGCCTTTGTCAACACTGTTTTAGAGGCAGGACCTTCAACTTAATGATAATGAATAATAAATAGCATTTGCATAGCGCTTATCCCCTCTCCACAGCAAGCTCTATGCGGTTTACACTATATTATCACCCCAGCAGACCACAGAGCACTCAGAAACATTCTCTGCTTCCCGGGAAGCCGACAGTGCAAGCAGCTGATTAAGCGCTCAAACACTAACATGCTGACAAGATCTTTCACTGTCTATAGCTGGGTACCCATTCCCACCTGGGTGAGGTGAGGAATATTTGTGGAAAGTGCCTTTCTCAAGGACACAACGTCGGGCCCGAGACAGGGTTCAAACCCTCAACATTATGGTTGCGAGTCTGAAAGCCTAACCACTAGGTAGGACATAACTAAGTAGGTAGAAAGCCTTGAAAACTCCCCAAACAACCCAAGTTGAAAAATACACCATTGAGGACTAAAATCTGGGTCATTTTCACCGTCGTCCAGCTTGATATCAACTGAGTTAATGACACACCTTGTGGTTACCAGAAAACATGGAACAACGTGTAGGCCTATTGCATAATACAGGTTGTGACTATTATGCAATGTAACAGGATTTATACAGTACCTTTCTTCTAATGAGAACCGGTATTCACTTTAGAGTTAGTAAGTATAAATATATTAGATTACAAAATAAAACGAAGAGGTGTATCACAAATGCATTCAGTTCAGTCACTCTTTCTGAAAATAGTGCCCACAAAGTGAACAATGTTACATCATCTTCTTTCTCTGCCTGTGTTTTGATCTGTCCCTCATGGTCATTCCTCTCTATCCATACTTTTATACACCAACATCAGGTATATCTTCACATTCACTTTCCATGTGTCTCACTCTGTGTTTCTTTGTCTGTCGTTACTCTAGTACTATCTAGATGTTTTAGACTTTTAAACAGACATGAGGGGGCTCTCATGGTCTAGACGTTAATGTATTCGCCTCTCGTTCAATAGGTCCCGCTTTCGAAACCTGACGGCAGTGGGAAAAATTTTCTTCTCTAACGTTTTCTCCTTTTTCACCTCCTTTCCTGCTCTCTAATCATTTTCTGTTGTCTGCTTTCGTTTCCACTTTCTACCCCAACCTCCCTCCTCTTTTGCCCCCTCCTGTGGGCTCCTGACTCTTTCTGCAGCCTTTCTATTGCTAATACTTGGCTTCTTCTTACTGCTGTCTTTCAGCCACACGCCTGATTTTAGGGTAGATAAGATCTAACAACTAGCCTTCTCGGATAAGGGCGAAAAATCTTGTAAGTCCCGTGTGCAAGTTGTGCTCATTTAAGATCCCTTGGTGGTCCAAAATTGATAAGAGTAGGCATCGGCTGCCACCAGGGCAAAATTCAAAATTAATTCCTACCAAACTAAAAATGTTTAATGTGTGCCGCATGCTCGTACGACCGTATGCAGTTGCAAGTGTTGCGAAACACTTACCAGAACAAACAAAACCAAACCCCAGACATGTTAGGAAACTACTGTAAAGTTCAGACCACCATGTTTTCAACAGTTCTGTCTCCACTTTCATTACTGGTAGTTTGAGGGTGCCACTGATAAGTTCTACTACTTAATTTGCCTCTGTTTTATCTGTCTATCCATCTTGCTTTTCTCCCAGCACTAAATGACTGTTATTGTGTCAATGTGCTTATCTTTATTTTTATTTTTTTTTAAAAGAAGAAAAAACTCACTATTATAACTAACCTTTGATTTCACACCATTGCTGGGTCCTCCAAATTTTATCATTTTGTTTCTCTCAGGTTGGCCACCATATTCTGCCCCTTGATGACCGTGGAGATTTCAGTGTGGTCTGTGAAGAGTCCATTTTGAAGTGATTTCCTCATCCTTGGAATCTGTTCCCAGCGACATTCAAGCTCAAGTCATTCCATATTAGGAGTTCCTTCATTGACAATTATTATAATTGAACAAATTGCTTTTTTCTCAGTTCGTATAATGATGGTTGTTATCAATTCTGTTTGCGTTATGTCTATGTGAATAAATGTCACTGGGTAGATTACTGCCACTGTAAACTGGCACATGCCCTTTAGTATACATACACTGTTGAACTAAAACTGAAAGATAAATGTGCGCATATATAAAGTATAAAGATTCAGATCCAAATTTGTAAATGTGTATTTTTTTTCTGGTAATCAGTTGTTTATAGCTGATATTATGAATGATACCATTCCTGAAACAAGAAATACCAAAATATAAGATAAATGCTTATATTTTCACCGAAATTCTTTGTAACCTTCTAAACATTCACAAGATTCAGCTGTTTTTGTTGCTTTAATGAAGAGAAAAGTTATACAAGTGTATATATATAAAAGCAATTCTGCTAAAACGCCACGCAAGTGGTAAGTTTGTCTTGTCTCATCCACAGGTGTGATCTATCCTGATAATTTGTAAATAATTACTGCTGTCTACACTTGTAGAGAAAAGAATAGCGTTTGTTATTGGAAACAGTTGTACTAGATTTTTTTGTCTCAGCAAAATAAACTGTCTGTAACAACAGTGTCTTTTTCAATGTATCATTTGCAATTCATAGATTTTTATAGTCGTATTTTTTAGTCATTAATATTCCGTACATGTTGGTGCTGTACTTTAGACTTTTTTTGTGAATGTGTCAGGGACATTTTATTTGCTGAAAGTGGCCTGTCATGCAAAACTGGATGAAGGAGGCCTCCTGGTCTCTCATTTAAGGTTGAAACACTTTTAACTCACTTGAGCTTCTTCCCATTTATTTTTGGGACGCGCAGCCATCCCAGTGGCAGAATCCCGTGTATTTACCGGATGTGCTTTATCGATTGATATCTCTAGTGTTTTTCGGTTGCAGGCTACGGGAAGCGTCAAGCTAACAGTTGACCCACTTGTTTCATTTCAGAAAAAAAAATTGGTTATGTGAGGTACTTTTTGAGCGGTAACGGACTAAGTCAGTCACCCCAACATTGTGATAGATGATTTTATTACAAATTGGGAGCAAAAAAAAATTGCGTAATCCTGAGACATTGCCTTTTCAAATATTGATGAAATAAAAAACTATTCAGACAAATGAGATGCTATTTTCTTTTTCTGTGAGAGCATTTCTTTTGTTGCATTTTAAAAATTATGATAACTTTCACAGTTTTTTTGTGGTTAACGATTCAATATACCCCAAAACTGCCAGGCTCAAGAGAGTTAATATTAAACCATCATGTTTTAGTCAGACACTAGCATCTTTGAAAAAATCCCTCTAAGATAAATATACCCATCCCTGGCTCGTTTAAAGAATAATAGCTCAATACTAAAACAGCACCTGGACATGGATGGCTGGTGCCTCTATAAATAAATCATTGATGGTCAAGCTCAATACTGACACAATTAATGCCAGAAAAAAAGAGGTTGTAGGATAGAATTTTAATACAGAATCGTAACAAATGATGAGAACAGGGGGCCAAATGTTGCAACTTCTTATGACAGTTTTCATTGGGATTTCAGCATTGACTAAAGTCACAATTTTTGATTTTGATAAACTGGTTGTACTCATTAGATCAGTATTGTACTGGTAGTCATAGCTGTTTCATATTGGACACTTGTATGAGTTATAGATGATAATTCAGTTGTGAGAGAAATACATGCATGTCATGTGTATTGTTATAAAAATGTTTGCTCTATTCATGAGGAAATTATTTTTTCTCTCTGGAAGAGATCTGTTTTCAGAAATGTAAAAGTTCTGCAATCCCTGTGGTATCACTAGAAGATATCAGTGGTAGTCACAAGAAGATATCAGTGGTAGTCACAGTTTGTTAATGGTAAAATGAGGCTTCTTCTTAAACATAAATTTATTTTTTTCATAAAAAGAAAGAAAGAATCGTTTATGTACATTTACTTGTTAATTTATTTTGTTTATACCACAGTAGAACATATTTAAGTATACTAAATTCAAATGGGAGAGGAAATAAAATTGTATTTTTAGCAATTCTTTCAAGTTTTGTTCATTCCTTTGAGAGTTGGCAGTTGGGGTGCTACTTTAGGTCCTATTTCTATTTTTTTTCTCCTGTTATTTCTGTCTGCCGTGCTTCTTTTCTCTTTCTCAAAACACTGTTATTGTGTCAATGTGCTTCTTTTCCCTTTCTCAAAACACTGTTATTGTGTCAATGTGCTTCTTTTCTCTTTCTCAAAGCACTATAATTGTGTCAATGTGCTTCTTTTCCCTTTCTCAAAACACTATAATTGTGTCAATGTGCTTCTTTTCTCTTTCTCAAAACACTGTTATTGTGTCATTGTGCTTCTTTTTAATTAAACAAATAAATAATTCCTTTCATTGTAAAAGTCTGTCAGATTTTATGATCATGGCTTGTGACTGTCAGTGTGGATTATAATATCATGAGGCCCTTCTGCCCTTGTATCTTCTTTCCACTTGTCTGTGTATCTGTGATCTTTTATTTTGATCTCTCCACGTCTATTCTTTGTTTCTCTATCTCTGTCTCGGCCTCTGGCACGCTATCTTTGTCTCTTTCTGCCCGTTACAGTCTCTGTCTATTTATCTATCTACCTTTATCTGTCAACCTCTGTCTTCACCTCTTTCTCACTCTGTGTGTGTCTCTCTGTTTATCTATTTATTTTCTGGGTCGTTTTGTCTCTCTTTCTATTTTCTCTCTC